CTCAAAAGTTAAAATAAATAAAGGTGAAGCAAAAAATCATCTCATAAATGTCATAGCTATTATTATCTCGAACTTATTGCAATGGTTCTGCACACAACCATTCAAATCATTGCTAATAGGGACTGTGCTACCAGCAAAAGCACTGCCTGCAAAAAAATGAAAGTGTTGAAGTATTTTGCAAGTAGAATTCACAAGAGGAATGTAACACCCCTATTTTTGTTATTTATTAATTTTGTATTTTATATGAATTGTTAATGCATGTTGTTTGAAATTAGAAGAGTTTTAGGTGTGTGAGTTGTCAGACTTCTCGCTGTAGTGAGAAATGAGCGTCCAGAATTAGACTCTCTGACACTCTCTCATTTTAGCGAGGAGCTCTCACTGTAGCTAGAATGATAGACAGCAAAAAGGAAAAAGTGTCTGGTTTTTTCGTTGCAGCGAAAGAGGTCTCGTTGTAGCTAGAATTGACTCGTTATAGCGAGAATGTCGTGAGTTACGAGGTATTTAAGAGTTTTCAAGTTGAAAAACTTGGATTATAATCCAAGTTACGATCCCCTCCATTCCCTTTAACCTCTCTTCTCTTTTTCTCAAATCCAAGCTTGGGATTACACTTTTCTTCCTCCTTGGTAAGTTCTTGAAGCTTGGTTCTCCATTTCTTTGGTTATTTTCTTTTTTCCCTCCTCTAAATAGGATCTCTTATTATATTTAGGAAGAACCTAACCTTTTGAGCAAGATCTCTCTAAAATCCTTCACTAAACTTCTATTTCAAGGTAAGGAGAGCTTCATCTTATTACTAAGAATGTAGTATATTTGTGTTCATGAAAATATTGTGATGTAGTACATGATTATGAATGTATACTTGATTGAGCATGTTCTGTGGTGTTTGATAATGTGTACAATCCTTGTTTTGAGTGTATATGCATGTATATTGTGGACTGAGTCTGGGGTGACCAACCCTCGGCAATGGTTGATTGATATATGATGTAGTGATGAACTTGAATTAATAAAGAAATAAAGGGATGAATAATATGATAGTATATAAATAATGAGTTCATGATTTAGTAAATAATGAGTTTGGGCCATAATGACTAACGAGAAGAGTAAATCCATAATGAGAAATATAAAAATGAGATGGAAAATATGGAAAGAGAAATGAAATGAGGAAGGAACACAATAAGGACAAGTATAGATAGTTCAAAGGTACATTGGGGGTGTGGAAGATGGAGGCGATTGAGAAATCCTGAGGAAATAAGGGTGGTGGATACTTTTTCTTGAATTGTGCATAATAAATGAGAGTAAGAGCACCACAGGCCTCATACTTGTTTCCTAACTTAAACTCTTGACCATGCTTTTGCTAAAGGGGGTCAAGTTAGCACACATTGTATCTGTGTAGCTGCGGCTATTCAACAACTATCTATGGTAAGGAAGACTTTGAGGGATCTCAGGGGCAGTGAAAGTGTGAAATAAGAACTCTGAGTGTTAATAAAAAGAAAATGTAATAAACTAGATAACTAATGATTGTTGCATGCATATAAATAAGATTGATTATTGTATTACCTTTACTTATATTGTTTGATGTAATTGCGAATATATGCTTGGTAATAAAAATAGAGACTCGTCCTTACATAAATCTTTGAGGGGACCAGGATGACAACACCCAGAGAGCGCATTAGGTTCATCGATAGCTTTGTATAGTGTAGGTTAAATTATGTATTTAACAAGTACCATAGATTTTTCTATTTTATGTTAGCCTTACATGTTGATAATGTACCTCATAACATTATTATGCTAGAAATGAAACTATCCTATAGTGTAACTTTCGACTTCGCTATAAACAACAGAATCTGCCATACCCTGTGTATGTACCTTTATCAAGGCATAATTAGAACCCCAGCAGTTGTGACCTACCTGTTCACATATCACGATCACGATCACGATCACCATGGAAGACTAACTCAATATACTTTTGAGCAAATTATTGGTAGGCAAGCCACTACAAATTCAGGCGATCGTTATCTCGGATTGAATGATGATCTCAATTTCGAAGACCTTGCGGTGATAGAGGGATGGCATGGAGATGACTAGTATCTTTTTCAGTCTTTTGGTGGATAAACTTCTCATTAGAACTTGTTATATTTTATATCTTGTAAATGAGTCCTAATGTATTTTGATATATATTTTGCTAATATCAACCTCTTGTAAACTCTTTAGAACAACATATATATATATATATATATATATATATGTTATTTTACGTTTTCTTTTTGATTTGTCTATTCCTATTTTTTGCCATTTAAATTTTTATGAGTTGATTAAAGTATTACTAAATGTTTCAAAATTTTCACATGTTGTATTTAACTTGCAATGAGTTTAATCTAAATATTCCTTTCTAAACTCCAAAATTATTTTCTTATCACATTAAAATAAAAATAAAGATGTTACAAGGAAAGCTTAGTTTGGCAGAAAATTAAATTTCAAGAAAGTCACTATATGAATTAAACAAAATATAGACACATCTAAAATATAAACAAATTGTTGAATTTAGGGTTAAACTTACAAAAGCTATTTTCTCTTGTAAGGTTGCAAAATTGTGTTTCGGTGTTAGAAGTTGGAGAATTTTTGAGTTTTAATATATCAAGAGGAAATAATCCATGGGTTAGCCTTAATCCTGAGTATTCTAGCCCACTTTATTTATGGGATTGTATAGGTTATAATTAAATAGCCCTGATAAAAGACATGGTCAATTATAGAATTTTAATGATTAGTCCATGAGTTTTAATCCCATTTGACAATCTAGAAATTAGGAATAATATAAATCTAGAAATTAAGAATAATATAAATTAGCAAGTAGCTCAAACTCCCTGCACTAGACTTGCTTCAGGTACAAGCTGAAATCGGTTAAGTTAAAAAAAGTTGAGTTTATTCGGGCTTTAAATTTCAAAGCCAAAGCCCTATACTTTAATGGGCTTATTCAACATGCTAATTCAACCAAACTAACCTATTTTGTCATCTTTACCACAATAGTTACTAGTATAGCACACTACCATAAAATTGATCAACCATCTTTAATCATAAAGCACCATTGGATATGCATCATCATAAAATAATACATTACTAATTCTATGATTTATGAAAACTCACTCATTCTTTTCATTTTGTTTTTATAGTAATTTGGATTTGAAGTTCAATCTCTGTTCATACTTTACCCTAACACAAATGATCATGACACTAAGTTCAAAGAACATTAAATGCCCATAATTATTTTAAATTTCACCAAAATCAACTTGAAACGTGTTTACGTCAACACAGACAAACTCTTAAATCCTCCTTATCTACAAAAAAAAAAAAAACTAAAATCTCATTTTAGTCCCTAAATAGTAAATGTCAAACATTTTAGTCACTGAAATTTTAAAATTGTCACATTAGTCACTGACTTTTATTTTTATCTATCATTTTAGTCTTTCGAGTCACACATCATCAATACACAGTAATAAAATGTTAATATGTCATGTTAAGTGACACATATGATTGATTGCATGATAAAAATAATATCGTATACAATATGATACATTTTTTAAGTATTTTAGTCCTTAAGATTGTCATTTTTCAAGGTTGATTGCATAAGATAATCTATTACTAATTTTGTGACATGTAAAAAAAGCTTTTTTTTTCATTTTTTGTTTAATTATTTTGATAACTGAGTCTATACTTAACCTTAACACAAATGAATATGACATTAAGTTCAAATAACGTTAAATGCCTATGATTATTTTAACTTTCACCCAAATCAACTTAAAATGTGTATACCTCAATATAAACAAACTCTTAAATTCTCGTTATCTACAAAAATATTTGTTTCATTGGAATGTAGGATTACTAAGAAAAAAAAAGATAACATTAAAAGTAATAATTTTTAATAATCTTTTAAAAGGTACAAATAACTTAATATTAAATAAACTTTAAATATAACAATTATTTAATTTGAAATGAATAATGTGTGTTTATGGCAAGTGAACTAACATGAGAGTATATTAAACAAAAAAAAATGTTAGATAGTTTTCACAATAAAAGTAGTTTTCTAATTATAGTAGTCATTAGTCTTCACACTATGCATTTTTGTAACATGTCATTTTAGAGTATTTTGAGATAATTACTTATTTAAGCATTTATTAAATAAATTCTATTTAAAACAATGACTTATATAAGAGAATTTATTAAAATAAACTAAAAATAGCTTCTTTTAATAAGTTATTCTAAGAAATTTATTAAAAAAAAACAACTTATAAAAGTTATAAGCTATTTTTCATAAGTTAATTATTTACAAGCTTTTTTAATAAGTTTTTAGTCTTAAACAATTATTAAACACAAAGCTCATATAAAATACATTTTAATTCTCAACTATTAATCAAATCTCATCTAAATTCAATTTTTAAATTTAGGTGTGAATAAATCTTTATAATAGAAGAAAAAATAATAAAAAAATATAAACAAAATTTTTCTATAAATTAAAATAATTTATCTTTAGATTTTAGAAAAATTAATTAAAATTAACTTTTAAAAAATAAAAAAATATATAAATTAATTTTAACTTATACATTGAGTTTAATTTAAATACTTACTTGAGAAGTATTTTATACTTTTTTTTAAATTAACGATTATAATTTTTTTACTATATTAAAAATTAAAAAATACTGATATTTTTTTAACTAAACTATTAATTTTACTATTTATTAATATAAAATTAATAATAACGATTGTTATACGTGTAAAAAAATATATATTTTATCTTTAATTTATAAATATTTATTACGATACCATAAACTTAAAAAAATATTTTATATCTTTTTTAATTAATGATTATAATTTTTTAATATATAAAATATTAGAAGATATTATTATTTTTTTAAATTAAATCACTAACATTATTATCTATTAACATAAATATTACTTAATTTATATTACTTCTTAATTTCTGTTCTCCCTTATAATTTGTTATTAAAAAATTTATTCCTAGTGTTTAAAAAAAGAGTCATAAATTTACATTCATTCTGATTTCCTAAAAGAAGAATTTTCCCCACAATTCAACAAGCCGGCCTTCCAATCAACCAGTGATTGTCAAAATTTAGCAAAATATAGTTAATATGATCAACCCTCAAAGTAAAATACAAATATTACTCTCCTCCTTCATTGCCCATTGCAAAGGTGTGTAAGACATCTAGCTGGAAGGATGAATAACTTGTTTTTTTTTTTTTCTTTTGGAAATTGTATATTGTATAGTCCAGTATACACACAACAAAATCAAATAACTAAAGGGGACGATTAAGCAAGCAAAATAAATTAGGCATAAAAATTTACAACTTGTATTCCAGGAAATCGAAATCAAGAAGAAGGAAAGGCATCTTTCACAGCAGAGGCAGCAGAGAGGTAATTAAGTGTGTTCTTCAAAGTCTCTTTCTCCCTCTTCAACCTGGTGGCAGTGTCCTCCAACTCTAACAGAGCCTGTTGCTCTCTGGGTGCACCCTCGAACGTGCTTCCAACAAAGAAAGAAAACGGGGTAGGAAATAGATTCCTTCTCAAATCCCCAATCTCTTTCTCTCCCTTCCCACCCAATCGATTCGACAGCCGAATCACGTCCTTCATATAACTCTCCACCTCACTCGCCAAACCCTCCACGTCCTCTCCCACTTTCTCCGAAGGCCTGTCCTCAAGCCACGTCACGCGCCCCACAAGGTATGGTTTCGTCCGTACAACGTTGCTCACTCGAAACCGTTCCTGTCCCTTGCATACCAAGAAAAACCGGTCGTCAACGAGACGCTCGTGTTTGACCACTTCGCCCACGCACCCGACTTCCGCGGTGCCCGAAACGGCGTCGTTGTAGATAACCCCGAATCGTAGGTCGGTGTGGAGGAGCGTGTGCATCATGATGCGGTAACGGAACTCGAAGATCTGAAGAGGAAGGATGGCGCCGGGGAAGAGAACCAGAGGGAGAGGGAAGAGAGGGAGCTCCACCATGTCCTGGTGCTTGTCGGAGAAAGAGGAAGCCGAGCACCGGAGAGAGTCCAGGCTCCGGCGACGGTGGAACAATGATGGTAATGTGAGTGTGTTGATGTTTAAGCAGTGGGTATGAGATAGAGAAGCAGAGGGCACGAGCTGTGGCATTGGGAATGCCATTTTTTTTTCTTTTTCCTTTCCTCTATTATCACAAATTTAGAATAATGGAAACAGAAAATGCATAGTGATTTGTTACTTTACTAGTAGACTATGAGTAGTTGGTTGTGTGGTTAACGTGGTCGTGGCCATCACTCCATCATTGGGTATTTCTTGTGGGAAGTTCTACGGTGATGTTTGGACTTGGGAGTGTGACTGTTGTAGATACATACATAGAGATATGGTGTGTGAGATGCGGGTCCTGCGTTTCGCTTGTCATTAGTTGTCGCTTTCGTAATTGGATAGAGAGATTGTGGAAATTTTGGTGGTTCTGAGGGGAAGCAGGACTGTGCGGTTTAGGATGTTCCACGTGGAGTCCGAGACCAGGATTGTGAGCTTCGAGGCCCAATGTCACAATGGGCCATTTTCTCATTATAGGTGTAAGCCCAGATGAATAGCCCTAATAGAATTTATAATTTTTATTCGGTGACGTTGGTGCGAAGCACGCGTACTAGTTATGATCTCACATATTAACAGGAGACAGATAAAAAGTGTACGTGTGAAAAACCAAAACATAATAGTACTATATAACAAACAGGGACCTTTGCCTCGCTTGTTCGTGCAAGCGAAGCTAAGCGAACGAGAATAAGATTCTAACTATGGCAGCAGAGGAAGGACAGGTCATCGGCGTCCACACCTATGAGTCGTGGAAGGAGCATTTGGAGATGCAAAAAAACTCCAAGAAAGTGGTACATGCCCAAACATCTTCTTCCTTTCTTACTAGTCTTTTTCAGATCTCTTCCATTTCATTTCCCCTTCATTACTTTAATCGGTGTGGATTGCAAAACTACAAAGGTGCGTTTGCATGACTTATTCAAGACTTAAGCTCTAAATAGCTTATTTGGATACGTTATACCATATTACTTTAAGTAATTATTCAATAACACTTTTTTTAAAATAGAATTTATCTTATAAATTAAAAATAATTCAAATTATATTTCTAAAATAGATTGAAAAATAATTATGTGATTCATAAATTATTATTTATATTGATTATTAACTTTTTTTAGACAAATTTTAACAAATTTATTAAAATAATTTATAGGAGTTTTAAATTTTTTGTATGGTGATCATAAGCTATTTCAGTCAGCCAAGCCCCTAATCAGGGGCTTATGGCATCTTCATTACTTAAAAAAAATGTAAAGTTTTTTCATATATGGATGTGCTGTGCTAAAAAAATTACCACTATTGACACGTAAAGATGACCAAGTATCCTTTGCTTCTCTTGATAAAGCTTTTTCCATGGCTATCATTGATACTGCCTTGAAAATATGTTATACATTCTGTTACTAAATTATGTAACGTCAATACCAAAATAAAAAACGTCTAGATTTACATTTATGTCTATACTATATTAATTATATTTATTGCAAGTTTTTCTTTTAGTCTATTATTTGACGCATTTTGAACTTTGGATCGCATTGGATCAGGTCAAATATCTCTTTTCCAAAATGTATTTAAGTAATAAAACAGAAATATAAGTTTATTTAAACATTTTATAGTTAAATAGATTGATCCAATCCGAAAAATTAAAATTTCAAATAAGTCGAGCCAAAAAAAAATCAGAATTAATTCGTCTTAAAGTTTAATATTCACATTTTATACCCTAGTCTCCTGTTTTGTGATAGATGCATGTGGACACTACTTATGTCCAAATACATTTCATTCTGTAGCATAGGATTGGCTGAAATTCGAACCCATAATAAATAGACTCATCCACCTTTCTGAATTCTGATGCTAATCGCATTTAACAGTTTAATATTACTGGCAAACATGCCAATCGCATTTAACAGTTTAATATAAATTCTATCAAAATTAACGTTATCAAAATCTAAAACAATCGTGCACTTTGGTAATAAAGTGTCTGTCTGGTTTAAAGTTTAAATAAAATTAATTTTAAACTATTAAATACTTCTTTCAAAATGTCTTTGTTAAAAAAATGTTTTAAATTATTATAAAATGTGCATTATATATTTTTATAATTTTGACATAATAAATATTTTTATTTTTCTTACAATTTTTTTAACTTTAACTTCTTAATATATGTCTTTTGTCACACATAAAAAAAAAACGATTTTTTAGAATATGTGTATATGTAAGAGGATAGTTCAAAATGAACAGTGGGACAAGGTGTCGTTGCTGCTATATAGACTCTTACATATCCAAATGCTATTTGCTCCTCAAAAAAAACTTCTATATTACCTCTTCTGCAATTGTAAATTGGTAATCAGCTTGACAGGTGCAAAATGTTAACTGTACTGTAACTTTATTTTGTTGTTTGAAACGACAGTTTTGCGGCATAATGAATACCCTTCTTTGAGCGTATTTGCTTAAGAAAATTTTATGCCTTTCAATTAATTTTTTCCGTTCACATAGATCTTTCTTTTGAGTTTAATTTTTGTTGTTATTAACATTCTCATCACAATTCACAACCCTTTACTTGCTTTGATTCCTATCTCATTGAATGTGATGTACCATGATCGTCTCTTTTTAGTTTTTACTAGCCCTTTCCTCCTCTGCTTTAGGATAATGACATTACATTTAATAGGTTGTGGTGGATTTTACTGCTTCCTGGTGTGGTCCATGCCGTTTTATTGGTCCAATTCTAGCAGAGATTGCTAAGAAGACACCCGAAGTCTTATTCCTCAAGGTGGATGTGGATGAATTAGAGGTAAGCATATCTGAATCTTTGTTATCACATTATTTATTTCATTTATAATCTTATAAAAAGCCCATGTTGACTATGTTTTTACATTTTACTAATAATTTTATCATTGCATTTTTGTTTTTAGATTGTTGCTAAGGAATGGTCCGTTGAGGCTATGCCAACCTTCCTCTTCTTCAAAGAAGGCAAGCTTGTGGACAAGGTTGTGGGTGCTAAGAAGGAAGAGCTGCAACTAACAATAACCAAGCATGCTACTGAATCTGCATGTGTTGCTGCTGCTTGAAATATCAGCTTATAATTATCAAGAATAACACATTAACATTTCCGAGTCGGTTTATATGTTTTTCTCTATGGCTATGGAGTCTAAAGAACATGAGAGTCCATGAAAATAAATTGTTGCATAGTGTACTTCAACTGGTTTTTATTTGTATGATTAAATGTCTATTAGCAAGCAACTTGTATTAGAAAATGAATCATCTATGGATACTATAGTCGTGAAGAATTTCTGTAGCCACTCTCGTGTCTATTATTACTACTATTTAAGAGGATTTTATATAAAATATTACTGTTATAAGAGGGAGAAAAATGTTGCGGACAAAATGCATTTAAATACTTAGAAGTAAAAATATATTATGTGTATTGTACTTTTTTTAGTTTTGATGATATTAATTCTTAGGACTTATTCTAAGTAATTAAAAGTAAAAATAAAAAATTTCTAGAAAAATTTTATTCTTTTATATATTTAATTTTATAAATGCGTTTTTTTTTTAATTATTTATAAGTTTTTAAAATTAACACTAAGTGAGGCTTATAAAATCTTTTTTTTTAATCATTGCCGTGGCAAAATTACTTGCTGTGATTTATTTTTATTTTTTTTGCTAAATATCAATATTTTATTAAAGATATTTGTTGTCATTTTTTTATAGGAAGAAAGAGGATAGAGCTTTGGGTAAATAGAGTAAGACTAGCAGTTACCATCAGTGTTGATCAAATTATAAGAGTATTTTTAATATTATATAATCAACTTTTTTACCTTTTCTACAACAATAATAAGATTTTTGCTTCTACAGCTGATTATAGAATCACGTTTTTGAGTGATATACTCTGAAGCGAGGCCTTTCAATAATTTTGCAAAATAAAGAATAATGGTAAGCTGTATTGTAATAGGCAACCACTGACTATAAAATCACTAGAGTAAAAAGAGATGGTCTCTATGAAAATTGATTGATAAATAAGATATTTTGATGATTAAAAATAGGCAACCACTGACATATTTGCATTGTATGTATTGAAATAGACAAATTACACGAGTGAATAAAAGCACAAGTCTGAATTTTGCAATTTCTCTCTTCCCGTGTATACATATTGATACTAACTCCAAAGAATAAATAAAAATCAACTTGGCCACACCTTTTGTGTCATTGATGATGGTCCATCCTGATGCATGATCAAGAAGAGGAACCGTAGTTGACCACACCAATGATTGAACCAAACTTCACATAGTGAAGCTTAATTATGGCAAAGTAACAAATATTAACTTATTCCCTCAACTTTATCTAACAATGACAACGGAAGCCAGAGAACTTCACAAGTGAACATACAATATCTTATTCTTTTATAACTATGGCCCCATTGCATTTCTTCACAACTTATTCTTTCTGATTCATGTTCCTTCAGTTCTTTGAATTGAGTTTACTAGTTGCTGGTGTATGTATTGTCCTCTTTAGCAGAGATATTTTCCAAGGATTCCCACCCAATTCCTCAAAAACTACTATCAAGTTCTTTGTTGGCTTTAACCATGACCTTGGAACATGGTACCTACAAAATTCCAAACAGAAAAAGGTTAAGTCTTCTCTTCCATAGTCCAATTTACAGAGAGTAATTTTATTGACCCTGGATCTTGCACATTGAAACATTCAACTGTGTGCATTTGTGTGGAAAATGTTTATCTCATTATCAATAATCTTAAATAAAGATAGATTAATACTACTAATAACCAAAAACACAATGACTTTGCATAGAGGTGTGTGATTTTGTCACACAAACAGTTGAAGTGAGTATAATTTTCCTTAAGATAAGAATGCAAAGTTTGAGCTAAATCTTTTGTAGAAAAGTAGTACCATCTTTGGGTAGGTTGTCCACAGCCAAGTTGGCACTTTGCAGGCCGATATGTTCCGGCATAGCTGCAGGAATTACAGGCACCCTTTGCATAAACCATCCAATATCTTCCTATATTCTGTCCATTGATCCATACTTGACCCTTTCCCATACTGCTCAGGTCCAAAGCCAATGGTTCATTTCCACCAGGTGTATTGAAATAAGCCTGAAGGTTCCATGTTGATGGTAACTGATAAGCTTCTCATTATATGATGCTGAAAATGTTGTAATATTATAAACCAGTAACAACTCTTACCTTGTGCCATTTCAACTGTGACTGGCCTGAGGCTGCTAGTGACTCTCTGACCCAATCAACAGATGAGACCCCACTGGGAGACACCAAATTCATAGCCTCTCCTTTTAGGCCAACCTGTTTGTTTAGATACCATGATTACAAAACATTTTATCCTCCTGTTTAACGAATCCTCTATGTATACTCATGTTAGATTTTGGTGCATCAAACCTGGTATGACCATTTCTGCCAACTCAAATCTCTCTGTCCATGGTCAAGACCATGAAGCAAAACTGGACCAGTGATCCCAGTCTTCCAATTCTCAAAATGGAATCCAACATTCTAGGAAAAAGAAAAGAACAAAAGCAATGAATAACTAGCCAAGTATATGACAACTACCAAGCATATTGAAAAACTCAAGAAGGGCAAAGAGATGATCAAGTGCAAATTGGAGTTGCAAGCAAGGTACTAACGGCTAATCCAACAGCTACACTAAGAAGTGCTATTTTATTAGTTCCAGCACGTAGGTTGATAGGGCCATTAAATGTGCAACTTCTCTGTTCGCTTGTCCCAAAAGTGGATCCTGGAAAAGGTAATTAGAATCATCTTATCTTGGTTGAACTTGATTCAAATTTCAATCATTTTGCAAACATAAGCACTACCAAATTTAACCAAGAACCTGAAAATTGCCCATTAATAAACACATGCACAGCGTCGCCTGCAGAATGCACACTAATGCTGGGCTTGTGCCCTCCTCTAAGAAACGATTCTGATGAACTTATGTCAACACTGTGGCATGCAAACCGGAAAAACCAGTAAGATTTCAAATCTGAAAAACAGAAAAGAAGGGCACAATTCAAGAAAGAAAAATTTCTTCTACCCCACTAAAGGGAAAAAAAAATTTGACTCTGCATTGTCTTATAATGCACACTAATTTCTTGCTTTATTTTTATGCTAAGCAGTAACCACTCAAAAGACATTGAGTTCATCTGATTGTTTTTTGAAAATCTAGAAGATAATACATATATTGAGTAACTTACCTTGTTATATACCACAGATAATCACTAGTGTCTCTGGTAACATTGATCTGTTCTAGAAGTCCAGAAGCTGTTATCCTGGAACTTTCTTCTAGAGAAGATATATCTTCTTCATAGGTCTCCCATGAGAACAACTTAGAATTGCTTGGCAGCATTTGTATCTGTGACGCTTGAAACCTCACCTTCATGAAAGCATAACAAACCAATCAATAATTTGATACAAAGGGCAAAGTTGATAAGAAGAATAACTTGATAGAATGGAACAACAATAGCTTCCATCGCACTTAATTAAGATAGATTAAAAGGACCATTTAAATATTCTTACTCTTGCAGTGTTAAATACATCTGTTTTACAATCAGGGAGGATGCTTATGGACCAAGGAGGCAAGTCATAGTGCCTGTTATTGAAGGTCACTCTAGCAGCAGAATTTGAATGATAGTTTGATAGAAAAGCTGCACATGTTCCGGTTTTTGAAGAGAATACATGAGCCTGGAATGTGACTAAGACATGAATTATTGTTGTTACTGTTAAAGTAGTTTATCTTAAAAAGATATGTAAGTAGAAGAGGTTAGTGTTTTATAACAGAGGCAAGTAACTGACCTGCTCATACGCTCCTAGTGATGTAACTGTGGGATCTGAAGAAACCAAAGCATGTTCACAAAGCTTGATAGCTTTATGAAGGTCCTTCAGATGACCATACTTAGGTTCCCTGATCAAACCTGAACACAGTCAAGCACTGCATTACAACTTGCCAAAACTGGTGAGGATGTAACATAATAATAATATAGGACAAAACTATCTTCAAATCTTTAACAAGTGAAACAAAATTCAGTCTTATTTCTAATATTAATAGATAATAGATAGATAGACAGATAGATCAGAAGAGAGTACAACAATCAATTTTATTCACAAGCTATGTGTATGCATCTATTTTTTCTTGAAGAGTTATGGTTATGGGGCACTATTTCATGTGCTTGGTTGTCAATTTAAATAATAGGACTTTATAGCTAAGTAAATTACAGCTAAACGTTCTAGATAGATGCCTAGTGAACTCATTATGAAAACAAAATAAACAAAGTATCTTCCCAGTATGTTTTTTGAAAGCATAGTTATCTGACCGTATTCATCAATTGGAGCATCATAGTCATAGGTTGTAGTAATGAATGGCCCTCCAGCTGATCGTCCAAAATTAGTTCCTCCATGGTACTAACATTGGTCATTAATCACATGAGTACTACTTACATATATAAGTCAAGGCAATGTATGTTTTGTTTAATCAAGACATAAGTCATTGAAGTAGACCAACCATGTAATAATTGAAAAATGCGCCACCCGTCTGTATGAAACGAGCAACTGCAAATGCTAGATCCTGAACTGGTCGCTGGTAAATTGGGCCACCAAATTCTGTAAACCTAATGGCCAAAAGGAATAACAAAAAGAGATAAGAACAATAAGAACAAAAGGGCTAAGAATTCAGACAACTTAATCCAAAATTTCACAACTAACTCCAAAAGCAATACTACATAGTACATAGAGCTTACCAGCCACTCCAAGACTCAGTCCAAAGTTTAGGCTTGTATGGTTTATTTGGAGAGAAATAATCACAGTAAAAGCCATTGCATGCATTTATCTGGTGTGAAGAATTGGATGGATCATATTGGACCCTTAATAAAAATCGAATGATAATGAACTTAAAGAAAAAGGAAAAGACTATTATTGAAGTCAATCCCCAGTAATAGTAGAACAACTGAAGTAAGTGAGTAAACCATCTAAGAGTTAAAATGGCTAACCACTGGATCTGGGGCATCATCTTGCTTGCACATCACCCAGGGCACACCTGTATCCAATGCAACAGCCATCTTTGCAGCCCAGTTTGTGTAGGCATGACCAGCAGTTCCGAGTGCCCTCTCTTGTGGTCCATACTCATTCTCAATCTAGAAATTACACACAAAGAGTGGAGACAAAGTTAAGATTTTATCTTGAAGTTTTGGTTTATTCCATGAAATTGTGAGAGCCAGATCTACTCCTTGATTTTTTATCTGGAAAGGACAGCAACAAACTTGTGGGAGACAATTTTGAAGAAACATTTCACCTATTCACTTATACTTAAAAAGGTGAAAGGAACTACCTACCTGAGAAAGAATGATTGGACCACCCTGAGACTGAAATAGCTTTTCATTCTTCATCATCTGCACTAATTTCTGAGTGAAACCTTGCATTGCCGCCTAAAAGTTTTAAAAAAATAGGGATCTTTTTTCAGGGTAAGATCCTTCAAGACTTGAGTAAGCAGAGACTCAGAAACTGAAATTGAAATTAAAGTTCAACCTTGAAAGGGCCATTATCTGTTCTGAAGCTGATACCAGGAACATACTTCAACCAAACCGGAAATCCTCTATACCATGAAAGAATCTCAATAACCATTCACACTAAGAAACCAAACACTAATTTTTTTACCGATATCTGAAAAAAATTTTAAAAAGAAATCCACAAAGGAAAGTTGAAGCTGCATATACCCAAAGTTCCACTCAGCACATATATAAGGTCCAATGCGGAGATGGACATAGAGCCCCACCTTCTGCACTGTCTTAATAAACCGTACCAGATCATATCTTCCTTCAAAATTGTACTGCAATCCAACATCATAAAAATAACAAAGAAACCAAAAAAGAAAAAAAAAGAGTGTGAGGTGGTAGCACGTTAGATAAGAATTTGAAACTGTATTAAAGAAAGATCCAGAGTAATACATTGCCAGGGGATGGTTCATGAACATTCCAGAAGACATAAGTGTCAATGGCATCAAGACCTCCATCTTTGGCCTTCTGAATTAGATCCTCCCACATCTGCAACAACACACATTTCAAACAAACGGGTCAGAAACGCATGAATCAACATGCTTCAAAGACAAACTCAAATATAATATGCAAAAAAGAGAAAAATAAATAAAGGTGAAGAAAAAGGAAGACATATATACTTCAGGTGTGCTTCTGGGGTAGTGAATGGAACCAGAAATGAGGATTCTCCTTTGGCCATTGATGATTATGGCTTTCCTATCATAGGTGACACTGCAATGGATCAACTCAGAACCCACAAACAAAGCCGTTAAGACAAGTATCAGAAGCTTGGAAACTGAGTTGGTTTCCATAGCTTCTTGCTTTCCCTCAGAACTGAATGGAGGGAAAGTTTTGAAACTATATAAGATAGAGAGAGAGAGAATGAGGTACGGGTTTGAACTTTGAACTTTGAATCTGATCTAAAACTGTGTACATGAGACCATTGGGTTTTTGTCTGTGATTCTTCTGCAAGTAGTAGTACAACTACTACTGCGAGTTCCACACATGTCAGGGAATTGTATTTTACTATTTTTGTTTTGTTTTGATATTTGGACTGTTATTGGGGGCACTTACAAGAACATCATTTGTCCACCTGTTTTTGCTTCTGTCTGACAGTAAGAGCTACAAAAGCTCTTTCTTTCTTTTCCTTTTCTTAATCACTGGCTTCAAGTCTTCAACTTTACAGCAACCACATATACAGCAAGTCAAAAAATAATAAATTGAAAGTGTTGCAATGAAGAAGATCATCATTGTGTCCTTCCCCCATTCACATTACAGTTTGCTTTCAGTTTAACAGTGATAAATCTCACATTCGATAATGTGGGGAATAGTAGACACGTAAAATTTATATATGAACAGAAAAAAAATTCTATCGTAATCAAGTAATTAAGTTATAGGACTGAAAATAATAATGTTTTTGTCAGAAAAAGATAAATCTTTTATATTGGTGACAAAAAGAATACTTATTATATCAAAGTTTTTATTTTTTTTGGAGTTCATAACTTACATGCTCTTCGTATATAAAATAAAAAACTGTAAAATGTATGTCTATTTTATAATTTTAAGTATCAAATACTTGAAAGAACAACTTTTGTTGCAATCAACTATCCTATCCGTCTATAAAAGAATAAATAAAAATTACATTGTAAATTTTTATCCTGAACAAATTTATGTAGTTTTTTTTTTTTCCTGAACAAATTGATGGAATGTTTCAATAACTGTCAGTACATTGAATATGTTTTTTTTCCTTTTGGATAATAATGAATGTGCTTTTCTTATCCTTGAAAACTACATTCCGCTAGAATTTCATATTGCCAATGCCAAATACCTACAACTTTTGTTATGAAAAAACTAATTCTTTAATTTATCTTTTAAAAAAGGTTAGGTTTTTTATTTTATTTTATTTCTCCGCGATAGTGCTAGCAGACCCGTACCCATTGTGCACCATATTTACTCCCTGCATGTGCTATGTAGACCCATGCCATGGCTCATTTGTGGGTTGTGGATGACAATAGCAATACCTTTAAGTTTATTATTCCCACGACGACAAGTGTTATCTTCTATGCGTGTCTGTTCTGTTGTGTATGTTCGTGATGCCCTTGTCTTGTGGGGTTTAGGATTTGCTTCCATGTGACATGATATTTCATATTTGTGCTCTCGTGATTTTGACATTTTTTATTTTCTAGGGTAAATTGATATGCATATTACTTTTTATAGATAATAATGTAGTGATGTTTTAGTTAATTTGTCAAATTAATGTACTACATTCAGGTGATGAGCTGTACATCTATTCTTTGCCTTTTTTTCTCCGGAAAGAAAAGGGTATATATACATATATATATATATATATATATGGATATTAGCTTTTATTATAATGGAATGATTTTATAGTTGATGTGTCAAATTGATAGATTATGTATAGTGTTTATAGGGATTAGCTGCTCTGTATATTGGACACGTTTTTTGTGACACTTTTGATAACGTAAATAATAGTATTAAAAAACAAAGTTTAAAAATTAAAACAGAAAATCCCTTTTATATGAGATTTTTATTTGTATAAACTTTTAAAAAAATTCTAAATAGCATTTTGGGGTTTTTTAAATTAAATAATTCTAAATTTTAAAAACATTTTTTGATTTAAAAACATTAAAAATACCAAATAAATAAACTATAAGAATAATCAAAAGGAAAGTACAAGTGATGGGCGGATATTTAGAATTGAAAACAAAATAGTATCATATACTATAATTTTATTTAATTTAATAACTTAAGATGTTGCTTGGATTTATTCAAGAGATAAAAGAATCCTTGTCTTGTTGTGAGCGAGCTACAATCTTCAATGCCAAGCAAGGTGGTGAGAGTTTACAAATGTCATCCCAATCTTCAAGATAATGGGAGTTCCAGGTAGGATGTGTGGGCATGCCTAGAAAATTTGCCCCCTGTCCTGTCAAAGGGTTGTTTCTTGTTGTATAAATCTTAATTAAAAGTGAGATAGTTCGTAACGATAGATGTGCATAAGAATTGGAGTAGGATCCCATATACCCTTTGTGAAACCAGTAGCCTCTTAAAAAATAGGATTATCATAAGATTAATAAGACCTAAGTATAAAGTTAGATCAAACTCATTATGTGTTCCTCCTAAAACACTTACAAAATTTAACAGAAAAAAAAATCAAATAACATATTAAGTTTAATTATATAAATTTCATTAAAAAAATCAATGATACAATTTATCATGATTAAATTATATCAATAATTATTATATGTGGAGTCATTTCTTAAAATAAATGACTAAACCCTCATTATTTGTTTCTGAAATAGCAAATATCAAATACTTTAATCTCTAAAATTTAAAAAATGCTACGTTAGACTCTGACTTTTATTTTTATTGAACACTTTTAGACTCAAACACGATTAATAGGTAACAACAAAATGTTTATATACATGATATGTATGCTTAATTGCATAGTAAAAAAAATAATGTATATAAAATGATATATGTTTTTATTTTATTTTAATATTTAAGATTGTCACTTATTAAATATTTTAGTGTCTAAAATTATTACTAATAAATATTTTAATTATTGATTCTTAAAATCTTCAATTTATTCATCCTTTTTCTTTTTCATTTTCTGTTATCAAAACTATAATTAATGGCTACTATATGCATTATTTGTAACGACAAAGTTGCTGTCATTTGTTTTCTATTAACGTTCTTTAATATTTTTTTTATGATGAGACAAAGATAAAGGCAAACGGTGCTTTCTTATTGTGTGATATTAACTTCAAGTTTAATAAGCTGCCTAGTACATTAGATTTGAAAAGAGTTCCTTTAGATGTATTTCCTGAAGAAATTTGCACGTTGCCCTTCTTAAGGTATTTGTGTTTGAGAAATACCAAAATCATAGAGCTTCCAAAGTCTATTAAAAATTTGTAAATGCTAGAAATGTTAGACATCAAATACATCTTGATTGCTAAGTTACCTCACAAGATATCAATGTTTCATTAAAAGTTTCATCATCTTTTAATTTCTCATTGCCATCAAGTGAGAAAAGATAGAATACTTAATTTTGAAAAGGTAATAATATATTTGAATTATGAAGAAGATGATGAATATTATATTTCATTATATGAATCGTGTGGTGTTAAGGTAACATGCAATATTAGAATGTTTGGTTCACTAGGTGTGCTTCTTTGAAGTACTAGAAAAGAATGAGTAGATGAAAATCTGAGGAAGTTGATCCAATTGAAAAAGTTGGGTTTAGTTAAATTCAGAGAGGAATACTGAAGTGACTTTGTCACTAGTAAAATGTAAATGGTGGCTGACACTTATAAGAAGAATATAAGTAGATAAAAAGTTATAAGAATAAGGACTAAAATATTTTAATGGTAGCAATCTTAAGAATTAAAATAAAAATATATATTATATTACATGTAACATTAGTTTCACTACATAATCAATTATATATGTTACTTAAATATTTTATTATTGTCTAATAACAATGTATAAGTTAAAAAATTAAAATATCTAATAAAGATATATTTTTAAATTAGAATATCTAACAATTATAGTTTAAGAGAAGAAAATAAAGTTTAGTTTAAAGTAAATATAAACTAACAATTTTTTATCCTACCATCCCAATGTGAAGGAAAAAGTATAGATATTAGAAAAAAAAGTTACCTAATTTAGTGAGTGTGCAGAGAGTCATGAAAAACATGTTAAGATTTCAAACTCATGAGTGAAACAAACACCAAAGCAACCCTCCACCAAGTTTTGTGAGAAATGCTTTTTATTATTTTAATTTTTAAAAAAATGTAAAATATTAGTATTTTTAATTATTAAAAAGCTATTTTAAATAAAAATTACTTAAAAAAGAATAATAATAAATATATAAATATGATAACAAATACACATATTTTTGTGCTTTCTGTGTTCAAACAAAATTGTAACACAAAATTATTTGGTTTAAATATTTTTTAAATCCTTTATATAATACTGAGTTTTAATTTAATCTATACAAAACAAGTTCTTATTTGTATATGGTTTAAATAAATCTTTCTCTGTAATTATTCCTCTTTTTAGAATCAATTTCTATTATTCAAAAATTGTTAATATTTAATTTTTAATATTTTTTGTTTATTTAAAATTATTGAAGACTACATATCAACAATTTTTAATAAAAATTAATTCTAAAATAATAATATTTGTAAAGATCAAGATCTTATTTAATATATGGAAACATATTTTTAATTCGTTGTTATTGTGAATCTGAATTCGTTTCAATTCCAGTGGAATTAGACAACTCAGTTTCATTTTCACTTAAAAATAAAATAATTTTTTTTTGCAAATGTTATGAGAAGAAAGAAAGCTAAGATTGCAGAAGTACAGAGGGGAGGGCAGAGTTAGGTAAAAGAAAGCAGAAAAATTGACATGAATATGCTTTGAAGTATAAAACTAATTAAAATTAAATATCAGGTATAAAAATAAAAAAATTATAACATCTTTTATTCTTACACAATATATTTATTTTCAATTTAATTTTTATAAGGCTATACTATATATAACTCAAACATGATGTTATATATATATATATATATAATTTTAATATTTAAATTTATTTATTATTTTCAAATTAAGATAATAGTTTTGTAATTATACTTTTATTTAAAAATATTTTATTATAAAAGATTTAAAAAACTAAATGAGTGAAAAAGAAACTACCTACAAATAATTGGAAAAAAGTGACAAAATCACTTTAAGCTAATAATTGAAAATAAAAAACACTAGTACAAATTCAGTAAAAAAAATTATTAATAACTACAATTTAGTTACTTTATTAAACTATGTCATTTTTTAAAATAAATTTCTTAAGTAACTAAAATGTCTTGTGAAACTCGAGTTGAATCTATAAAAGGTAAAGAAAGATATATTTGAAGCAAATCGTTGTTCATTTTCCTTCTATTCATCTGCTAGGGATTCTAAACTACAGAAATTAATAATGATCAGTTAGGATGTACTTTTCTTTTTCGTAGTTTTGTCTAATTAAACCCTTTCTTCCCATAGCAAAATGCTTGGCTACTATTAGTACACTGTGATACATGTGCAGATGCTAGATGCCATCGTTCTGCATTTTTTTCATTTTAATTTTGGTGTCTCTGCCAAAGAAGAAACAAACATTATTTTGGAGTCAGAACAAACAAAACTTATGCTGTTCGATGTGGAACCTAATTGAATGTTGACTTTTATTTTCTTCCAAAACTGAGCTATATATCACCAGGGTTACTTTAAATTTTTAGTAGCTGGCATCACGTTGGTGTCTATACCTAATTAAACCTTTTGGTTTGTATAATACTTTATTTAATGTATGTTTAAAGATATAATATATATATATATAGGAAATATTTATAAAATTTAATATATTAATAATATTAAACATTATATTTTTGATAAAAAAAATATTATTTATTTTTGGTATATATTTTTAGATATGTATTAAAAATTTGTTCTAATAATTTCAAAAAATAAAATAATAAAATTAAGGTTTTTAGTCCTTCAATAATTTTTTACAAAAAAATCGTTTGAAATATATTAAAAAATAATCACATTTTTTAATAATTTTTTTAGAATTCTTTAAATAAATTTTAGTTAGCATTTGTCTAAAATTAATTGGCAACTACTGTTAACTGCTATTTAATAGCTTCTTCCTTTTTCCATTCGTAATTCAAAGTACGATCAATTACTAAATATGCGTTAGTTATAGCTAGAAAAATTCTTACCCTTGATAGCAATTTCCGTTTTCTACGTCTTTTTAAGTTCTAAAAATAACTATAATGCATGTCTTAAATTAAAGTTATTAATTTGAATTATTAAAAACAAAGTTTATATTGAAAATTAAGATGAAAAATGTACGAATAATATTTTCCAAACAATTTTTTAACTTTTGCTTCCAAAATCATATGAAAACATTTATTCATTAACATCCTCTTTTATAAAACTATCCGATATTAATTTATAACTTGTAATATATGAAAAACAATCAAATAAGTTATATTCTTTTTACATTATTTAATAACTTATTATTTAATAAATTAATTTAAAATCAATAATTAAATTAAAAATTCTAATCATATAAATTATATTTGCAAAATTTTATATCAATTCAAAATTATTTAATATCTTGTTGTTATACATAAAATTTATCAATGTATATTTATAAAATATGTAAAAATAAAAATCATTTGATTGTATTTTTATAGTTATTTCATTTTGATAAAATTTCACATAACTAATTAAAATAATATATAAGTATAATGTAATAATTAAATAAAAAATATTTTGATATAAAATTATTAATAACATAAAAGTGAGTTTAATTTAGATATAATTTGAATCTTCTTGTAATATATTATTATCTCAGGTCCTATTTATAAAAAATAACCGTTAAATTTTTTTATTTTAATTATAAGAAATAAATACTTTTTTAAATGTATTAATCATTACATTTATTTTACATCCTTAATTTTTTATAAAGCTATATTAATTAAATATTCACTTAATTTTTTATACAAGTCAAACACTTAATATTTATTATATATAACTGTTTTTAATAAATTAATTGGTTGATTTTTAAAACTGGAGGGGAGGTAGCATTATTTTGATGAGGGGACATCTAGTTTGTCCCTCTGCAATATTCTTCTTTCCACAGTGCTCGCCAACTAATGCAACTGCTACATGCTTTTATGGATGGGATGCTTCATTTCCTTCTATGTCGGTGCGGGTCATTTAATTCCCATGGATGAGATGAGGGTCTATCATTGTGTATCCCATGCATGCATGTGTGGCAATGTGGTGACCATAGGATTAACAGAGTTAGTAATCATTAGCCTTACCACTCACTAATTTATTTTTTATCGACAAACTTTTTTGAAAAGAGGGATTTCAATATTTCCATTACTTTGAGCACGGTATTGAGATTGCGACTCCTCCCTTATATCATTGATTAACTTGGTCAAGGCCAAAATAATATTTGAGAGAAAATTTTGAATAAATCCATTTTAATCCCTAAAAGTGATTGAAGTTCTTTAAATTTTAATTTTTAAAATTAATAATCGGTCGATCATTCTGTTCTTATTGTTAAATTTTTTTAATTAATAATAAAATGATAATTTGTTATTAAATGATGTATGAAAGTCAATTTAAATACAAAATAATGTAAATTTAGATTTTTTTTATTTTCTCTTTTTTTCATCATGTCTTTTTTTTTTCTTTGATCACTGTATTGTTAATTTATTTTCCAATAATTTCGGCAAACTTTGCATTTCCCTGCAATCAAAATAACTTTGTACTGCAAAGAAGTGAAAATGAGGGAGAAGAATGTGAAGGTGAAAAAGACAAGAAACACATAAGAATGAGAAATGAAAAAATTGTTGAGAAATGAACGTTATTGTATGATTTGTTAAAGAAAAATAATATGTTATGAAAGATGAAAAAATAGAAAAAAAAGAAGAGATTTTACTGTTAAAAATCTCAAAAATAAAAATAAAGACAAATTATTTATAAAGAATTTTAAAACATCGTCATTTTATATTTATAATAAATTTTTACGTGTTATAAATTATCACATTGTTAATTTTTATATTTTTAATGACAATAACTAAATTAATTAATAATTATTAATCTTAAGGACTAATATTTAAAAATTTAATTTAAAATTAATTTAAACGGTATTGTATATTTTAAAGACTAAAAAAAAAAGTTTACTTAAAAAAAAATATTAGCATATTGACTTGATTTCTCATCAACTTATAGTCTTTTACATGTATGTTGAAAAAACACTTTAAATTAATTAGCGCTTCACATTTACATTTTTATTTTTAAAAAATATTTTGTTGTGAAATTGTATATGTTTATATTTCATATTTTATATACAGTTCTTACTCCTTTGTAAATAATGATATTTTTTTTTATTAGCAAAAAAATGATATAATTTCTTTTGAAAAATTCACAACGCAATAAACACTAATAACGTTTAGACACGTGAACGTTTTATAATTAACCTTAAAAATATATAAATTTGTTGTTTTCGGAGTTCTACTAATGATTTGAATGATTATCTCATATAATAACGATAGAGAAAGCTTAACAGCTAGGGCTTCACTTTTTCATTTTTGCTTTTGCTTTTGTATATTTTTTTTCTCTATAATTATTTGATTAGGAAACCTGCTGACCAGCGTCACATGTTTTGCTGAATTTTAGCAAATTACCTCTCTCCATTGCCGACAAATTGTAAGTACTTGTTTGAATCTAAGTCTCTCTTAATTTATATAATAATATATAATATTGTATATATATTTTTAATTATACAGATCACATTTTATTTTTAATACAGTTTATTTTCCTATATAAATCTAGTACTAGAAATTTATTTATTATCACTTTTTGATATTATTTTCTTGGAGCGTGTGTCGTGTGATTGATTTTGCATCATCATCTCTCAATCGTGCGTTATTTTAACTCTACTTAGAATAGTTTGAGACGAATGTATGATGTATCTGATCTTCCTTTCTATGGAGTTTTGGACCTATCCCTTCTCCTCCTTGTCCATTCTTCTTGAATATATTTAGTAGATTTTCGATTTTTTTATGGAAAAAATACTTAAATATGGTATTTTGAAAAAATTATAAAAATATAAAAATCAACAATAGCATTTTAGTATTTTAAAATTTTTAATCATTTTTTAAAAATTGTCATTAATACTTTTTATTTCTAATTTTCTATTTTTTTAAAATTTTCATTAAAATTTCTTAATTTTTTAAAAAGATTATCATTGATTATTTTTAATCTTTTATGACGTTTTATTATTTTATTTTTGCCTTTGTATAAAAAATCGTTGAAGATTTTTAAATCTCATATTTTATAGATGTTTTTAAAATATTATATTTTAGTATATATTATTTTTAAATATTATATAAAAAAAATCCAATTTTAGATATATTTAATTATTTTAACTATAATACATACATTAATAAATATATTATTATTATTCACAAATTAACACTACGAGAAAGAAAAATGGAGAACAAAATGGGCTGAGTTTCTCATCAATCCAAAATCACAATCATAAACACATGCTCCCCGAAATTGCCCGCATCCATTCCCTTCCTTATTGAGTCATCTATTAGGTCAAAAAAACATGTAGCCCAAGTTAGCCGAAAACTAGGTGAAATAAACATCCCTTTTACTTTATTTCTTATGGAAGAGTATCTCATGGCTCCACATTTCAGGAAAAAAAAAACATTTGGGATTAAAACTAAATAAAAGAACTAAAATAAAACAATTTAAAAAAATTAAAAAACCAAAATCCTAATGTTAGCTTTCTTAAATTTATGATAAAAGTGAACTAAATACAAGTGACAATATTCGGAAGGATAATTTTTCCACATACAACTGTTCTACCTGACTTAAACATTATTTTCTTCAATGGAGGATAGCACATGAAAAGAAAACATGACGAGACTTATCCGGCATTGTTGACACATTGTAGGAAAGTTATTTTCATAACTAAAACTTATGATATTAAATAAGACTTAGGACGTGTGGCTTAGTTAAATGGTAGTTCGTAATCCATAAACCTTCAAAACTGAAAAAAGAAGAGAATTGTGGCGCAGTAAGCAGAGTTAGAAAAGAAGCTGAAGAAAGAGATGAACGGTGCATGCCTCTACGGTTCGGTGATTACCCCATCATCCCCCTCTCCGGTACTTCAACAACGCTATCATTATCTCCATCCACCAATCCCCATTCGCCCCTTATTCCTATCCCCTCTCACCACCGCAACCCTCACCACCTTCGTTCTACAACGCGACGCTGCAGTTGAAGTCACGTTCCCTCCTCACTCCGACGACGCCGTTTCATCGCAAAACGACACCCCCGCGGTTCAGTTCGAAACTCCGACAGAACAACACAACCAAGATGCAGCTTCGCCACTTCTTTCACAAGAGAAAGGAACGAAACTTAGAAAGAAGAAAGAAGAAGACAACGTCGTCTTCGATAACCGCTACAAGCTTCGCAACGGAAGAGAGGTCCTCTGTCCTCTTTCCTCTCTCCTTTCGTTTCAATTTTCAATTTCGGTTTCTTCGATTCTGATTATTCGCTATTTAAAGGTTTTTGAAGAAAAAGCCTACCTCGTAGGCGTTGAGCGAAAAAGCGATGTTCAGGATTTTGGTATAGAAGAGTCTCTTAGCGAATTGGCACAATTAGCTGACACTGCTGGATTATTGGTTGTTGGGTCTACATACCAGAAGTAAACAACTCATAAATTTTTTGACATAGTTTGAAAATGAAGTTATGTTATTGTTGCATGTAAATGTTATCTCAGTTTACCACGTCTTACTCCATTCATCGAATTAATAGACTGTGGCTACTACTGATTCATGTGTACCGTTTTTCCCACACTTCTCTCTTTCGTTGTGCTAACAATTATTTATTTAGGGATTTCGTTATGATTATTGTTGCTTTACATTAAACAATATTGTTTACGGGCTATAAACCAGCAACCCTATCTTTCTTCTCTATGAGAAATGAGAAATTTTAAGGACAAAACTTATAAATAGTACTATAGGTGTTTTTAGTGTTGTTATCCAGTCAAGGTTGGAACATCTCGGTAAGTTGGATAGTGAAGGTGGCACACATTACTGAGATGAAACTTTAATCTTGATTTGAGAATAACACCAAAAGCACCTATGATACTGCAACTAAGTTTTGTCAACTCCAAATTTTAATTGCTATAGTACACATATTTTGTTTCCTTTTTTTGTTTTGAGATACCACATTGTTGGTTGACTCAATTTCTGAATTCCGACAAATGGTATAGGCTTACTTCCCCAAACCCTAGGACGTACATTGGCTCTGGCAAGGTTTCTGAAATCAAGAGTGCAATTCATGCACTGGGTGTTGAAACTGTTATCTTTGATGATGAGCTGTCGGCTGGGTAAGTGCCCTTTTCCTTGTGCAAAACATATATGCCATCCACATGTGTGCCTCCTGTGAAGACCAATTTTGTCCATGCCACCATTTAGTTTATTGACATTGAACTATTTCATTTACTCTGAGAGTGCTTTGTCCCCAGAACTGACCATAAAAGGGCAGTAAAAATCTGACGAAATTTGATATTCTTGCTGGCTTTCATTGGAGATAGTTGGAATTAAAATCTTTCTGTTCATTTAGACCAAGGTTGCTGTGGAGGTTCTGTTGAGAACTTGGTTTCTATTATTAGTGACTATGATGATTCTACCTTTTTGATTTTTAGAGAGATGGTAGTCAGCTACCTTAAACCAGCCTGTAGGTTTCATATTAGTTTCATTCTTTAATTGATCCAAACTGTTTCTGATTTATATTGCTTTAATTCTACTAGGTGAGGCCAGCTACATAGATCAAGCAATGTCATTGAGTTCAATCAAATCAAATTCTTAAAAATATTATTTATTTCTAGATCTCTTTTTATAATTTTTTCTAAAGTTCTTTTGGTTCTTTCTCTATTATTTTTTTATCAAACTAAAACTTATGTCATCCATTCTTCTCACTAGTGCCTCCAGTTGCTTTCTTTGCATATAATCAAACCACTTAAAACGATTTTCAGTTATTTTTTGCACTATAGTTGCTACTATATTTTTTCACATATACAATCATTTCTTATCCTATCGTTTCTCGTTTCACTTAATATTAACCCAAGCTCAAATTACAACCTAAGACTTGAAAATACGAAAACAGAGTCAACAAACTCTTGGAAAATACAAAGTTACTATGGTAACTACTTTCTAACTAATAAATTTAATTCATTATGAACTAGTAAGTTGTTTAAATATTAAGAACATCCCCAAAACCAAAACTAAACCCATAAAACTGTGACATGTTAATCTTTAAGCTTGTGATTGCCTGATACTAGTACATCCTATATGCTTATACTTAGCAAAAATAATTGTTATAGTTGTTCTCTTTCTCTTCTTTGTTTTACCTTGCCGTGATTATGTGAGACAACTGCACCAATATTCATTAATTTTTTATCGTCACATTGCTGCATAAGGATTTCCACCTTGGATCTCACATGAAATTACGGGCCTCTGCTAATTCTAGGCAATTGCGCAACTTGGAAAAGAGTTTTGGTGGAGATGTGAGAGTTTGCGATCGAACTGCCCTCATCCTTGATATATTTAATCAGCGAGCGGCTACACATGAAGCATCTTTACAGGCAATTATAAATTAGAAAGAGGTTTCTCCAGTAACTTTTGTTTTTATTAGGGTATCAGTACCTGATCCACTCAATTGAACCATAAATGCACAAGGGGACCTTTCTATGAATTTTATGTTTTATATTATCATTGATCCCAATCTTTAATTTTAAATATCTAAGATCATAAGATAAAAAGATAATTATTTATTGGTCATTTACTCTAATAATTACATGACCAGCAACTTTTTTAATATCATATATGAAAAGTACATAAGTATGATTAAGTAAGATGATAATATATAAAATCTATTGACAAAGTACTGTACTTATATTTCAATTAAGTGTGACATGTTGCCATATATTAGCCGATAATTTTGCTAGAGGTACTGGTACCCTTTAAAAGCAAAAGGAACCGTTGAAATCTCCAAATTAAAAAAGCTTATTTTCTATTTGTCTTATTACCAGAAGCAGCTTTGCCAGGAGGAGAAATTTGACTCCCTTTTCTGACTATCCTAAGGTCTTTCTATATCTAGGTTTCATTAGCGCAAATGGAATACCAACTACCTCGTCTAACAAAAATGTGGACTCATCTTGAACGTCAAGCAGGAGGAAAGGTGAAGGGAATGGGTGAAAAACAAATAGAAGTGGACAAGCGTATTTTGCGTAACCAAGTAAGTAAACACTACTGTAATCATCAAATTTATCAACATTTCCATGAAAATCTACTACATTTGATTGTATCAGTGTGCTTGTGCTAGTGTAATACTATCAAGTAGATAGATACATTGTATATCCAAGTGGTAACCTATTGGTCACATATATTATTATACATTTCTCTGAAAGTTCGCTGTTATTTCTGATTTACCTCTGGAATCTTAGTTTTTCTAAGAAATATCTGTTGCCTGAGCTTTGACAGATTGGTATTCTCAAAAAAGAGCTAGAATCAGTTAGGAAACACCGAAAGCAGTACCGTAACAGGCGTTTCTCAGTACCTGTGCCAGTGGTATCCTTGGTTAGTTTTTATTATTATATTGGTCCATTTATTGTTAGGGTGATATTGCCTCTGCATTTATACATCATGGTAATGTATGCCATATAAATGATAACTTTATAATGCTTTTGATAACATTGAAGGTTGGTTACACAAATGCTGGTAAGAGTACACTTTTGAATCGACTAACTGGAGCAGATGTTCTTGCTGAGGATAAATTATTTGCAACTTTAGATCCAACTACAAGGAGGGTACAGGTCAGTCAAAATATACCAGGAGAATTTCCCATTTTTTATGTACAAACAATTCATTGGTTTTAGATTGTTGATTGCTTTCAACTGTTGTGCGTATGCTTCTTATTTGTAATGAGATTGAGATATCATGTTCAAGTCTTTTACTAATTAAGGAACTAGTCCAAGAGCTTATAATTGTCCTTTACCTTGCTGCATGGTCATTTGCTGTGTTTACAGATCGCAGTGTACAATGGCTGTGGGATGACTAAAATTTATCATTTATGTTTATTTTAATTAAATCTTAATTTGCAGGAAAATGAATCTTGTGCAGTTTAAATTCTAGTTATTTTAACATGCTGAGCTTTTTTCATTTGCTTTCATCCAGATGAAGAATGGAAAGGAGTTTCTCCTAACAGACACTGTTGGTTTTATTCAGAAGTTACCTACTACACTAGTAAGAAAGATAGCTTTCTTACTATTAATTTTTCTCTTGGTGTCTGTCTGTCTGACAATAATTTTGCTTTTGATATATTGTATTTCTTTTAAAACATGATTTACTATCAACTTAACATGTTGCTGTTAAAGCTAAGCATAAATTAAAATTATGAAGTAATGACCAATGTCATTTCCTGCTTTCTGTAGGTTGCTGCCTTCAGAGCTACGCTGGAGGAGATATCAGAGTCTTCACTCTTGGTGCATCTGGTTGATATCAGGTTATATTTCAGTAAAACTGCTGCAAGAAACTTTATTTTTAGGGAAAAAGGTTGTTATTAAAGCAAGTGATGTTGACCTACACCCTATTGCATTAATTATTTTCCCAAACTGCAGTCACCCCTTGGCTGAGCAACAGATAAATGCTGTGGACAAAGTTCTGTCAGAACTAGATGTATCATCAATTCCAAGATTGATGGTCTGGAACAAGGTATTGGTGTATAATGTTGTTGGTTTTCCTTTTCTGAAAATAGTATATATTGAGTCTGCTCATTTCCCTTTATCTTTGTTGATTTGTACAGACATACGGCATTGTCTTACATCTCTGTTCTTCTTTCAATTTATTGGTTGGTTAGGAATTTGGTTACATGGTTTTCAGGACCTTGGCCTATTCTAGATTTACTTTATTGACTGATACATTAGGAGCAAGACAGCTTTTAATTATTGTCAACAGTTGGTCAAGGAAGGTAACATGCAAATTAAGAATGTGAATCCTTTTCAAGCCTGTTGTCAGCTCCTGTATGTGGAGTGACAAAGGAAGAGTGGGATTGAACTGCTTTAACCTTACTTGCCATTCTGATCTTGCATGATGTTCTTGCAAGTTGCAATGACAGTGAATGCAGATATAACATATGTCTTCTTGTATTGTAAAATTCATGGGTTCAAAAGGTGGTACAGCTATACGTGTTGTCAGTAATAAGAGATCATCAGACAATCTGTATTGTTTCTTGGCTTCTCTACTTCTCTATAGCATAAATAGCTGTCAGGTCAATGACTTAATCCTGCATGAAGGTGATAGGAGACCACCTATATTCAGGGTGTACAAGAGGAAAGGTATGCGAGATGCAAGGGATAATGATTAGGAAGATTTATTAGTTAGTTAGAGATAAGGTAGGAGGAGTGAGAACCGTAATAATAGGAAGTTAATTAGGGAAGTTAGGATAGTAGCAGGAATATTAGTAGGAAAATCTGTTGGTTAATGCACTTTTAAATAATGGGAGGGAGAGCAATGGGAGGCATCGGAGAGATCACTATTGTTGGAGAGTATTGGCCTCTCGAAGAGCCATCTTTGTATTCTGTTTCTCTTTCCCTAATTTCTGGTTATCTCTAATCAGAATCCTAGGGTTCAATCAATAAAAGGTTGATTGTTTTTCTTATTTATCCTAGCCTGATTACCAGTGTTTAACACTGGTATCAGAGCTCTGATCTTTGGAGCTGTGGGTAGGAAGAATTCTGCTGCGTCGAAACGTAGATGGTAAGAAAAACCAGAGTGCGTACCTCAAAGACAGGAATGGAGACCTGTGTAGAAGCAATGGAGAGATTGATCGAGACAGTGACAGAGGGTCAGAAGGCCCAGGATGCATGAATGCGCAGAATCGAGGAACTCCTAGAGAAATTGGCACCAAACATGAATGGGAAAACAGAGGACCATTCGTGGCGCGAAGAAAGGAGAACTCCTGAGGGCTCTTACGGGAGCGGAGCTGAGGAGAGGTGGCGTCGTCTGGAGTTACCCATCTTCTCCGGAGAGGATGCGTACGGATGGCTGTGCAGAGTGGAGAGATACTTTGCGATAAGAGGGGTTAGTGATGAGGAAAAGAAGAGTGCGGTGGTCATAGCCTTGAAAGGGAAGGCCCTATACTGGTACCAGTGGTGGGAAGGAACGGAGGAGGACCCAACGTGGGAACAGTTCAAAGAAGCCTTGCTGGAGCATTTCCAACCCTCGGTGTTGCAGAACCCATTCGAGATGTTGATGGGGCTCAAGCAAACCGGAACGGTGCAGGAGTATAGAGACCAGTTTGAGCTTTGCATGGCACCTCTGCGAGATAAAGATCCTGCGTATCTCAGGGGAATCTTCCTGAACTGGTTGCGGAGAGATATACAAGCGGATTTGAAGCTGTATCCATCCGCTACGCTTAAGGAGGCTATGAGGAGTGCCCAGGCCATAGATGAGGCAAACCGGGCCAAGGCTGAAGAAAGCTGGACTCTGGATGGGCGAAAAGGTAACAATCCATCGAGGCCCAATAAGACCTTAACGCCCAAAACAGTAGGGAACTCAACAAAACATGTTGTCAGGGGAAACTCTGGAGGAATCAGAAGGATTTATGGACCCGAGTTGCAGGAAAAGCTTCGAAAGGGCCTATGTTTTCGTTGTGACGAGAATTACAGCCTGGCCACACATGCAAGAACAAGGAGCTACGGGTGATGCTCATGGCGGAGGAAGAGGAAGAGAGGCATGATGAGAACGAAGGCCTATAGGGAGAGGATGACGGCCAACTTCAAACCATGCAGCTGTCCTTCTACTCCATGGATGGGTTTACAACCAAGAAATCGTGGAAACTCTGGGGAAAGCTGCAGGATAAGGAGGTCATCGTGCTAATTGACTGTGGGGCCTCTCACAACTTAACTTTGTTTCGAGGAAGTTGGTGAGCGATTTCGGGTTGGAGATAGAGGACATAGATCCTTATACAGTGGAGGTGGGTGATGGAAGGAAGATCAAGTGTAGAGGGAAGTGCAGCCAGCTCGAGATGCAGCTCCAGGGAGTTTGGATTAAACAGGACTTCTACCTGTTTGATCTGAAAGGAGTGGATCTGGTGTTGGGTTTAGCTTGGTTAGAGAGATTGGGGAAGATTAGCATAGATTTTCAAGAACTAGTGCAGGAAATTCAACAAGAAAATGGAGTGAGTAAAATACGTGGTGATCCTACCTTGTCAAAAGGAAAAGCTTCTTTCAAATCAGTCAAGAAGGCTCTGCAGAACCAAGGGAAAGGCTATTGGCTGGAATACTCACTGCTAACCGGGGAGCAAACAAATGAAGAGGAGGTGCCTGAAGGAGTACAACAGGTCTTAGCAGATTTCGAGGAGGTTTTCAAGCTTCCGGAAGGTTTACCACCGCAGAGGAGTCATGATCATGCGATTCACCTGGAGGAAGGGGCGGGGATTCCAAATATTAGGCCTTATCGGTATCCTCACTACCAGAAAAATGAGATTGAAAAGATGATTGAGGAGACGCTTGAAGCGGGTATCATAAGGCAAGCACCAGTCCGTACTCGAGTCCCATCTTGCTAGTCAAGAAAAAGGATGGTGGGTGGCGGTTTTGTGTCGACTATCAGGCCCTTAACAAAGTCACCATAGCTGACAAATTTTCCATCCCCATTATTGATGAGCTGCTGGATGAGCTAGGAGGCGCCTCTATTTTCTCGAATCTGGATTTGAAAGCAGGGTATCACCATATTCGGATGAAGGAGTCTGACATTGAGAAGACAGCATTCAGATTGCACGAAGGGCATTATGAATTTCTCGTTATGCCCTTTGGATTAAAGAATGCTCCATCCACTTTCAAGGCACTCATGAATGAGGTCCTCAAACCATACCTCCAACGATCTGCTTAAGTATTCTTCGATGATATTTTGGTTTACAGTAGCAGTGAGCAAGAGCACATGATGCACCTGTAGGGAGTGTTGACAGCCTTAAAACACAGCAAGCTGTATGTTAATAGAAAGAAATGTTTGTTCGGCCAGCAATCCTTAGAATACTTGGGACACATAATTTCTAATAAAGGGGTGGCTACAGATCCGCAGAAGGTTGCAGCAATACAGCACTGGCCTGTTCCCCGAGATTTGAAGGCTCTAAGGGGATTTTTGGGACTTTGTGGTTATTACAGGCGTTTTGTGAAGGGTTTTGGACTGATAGCTAAACCTCTCACCTTGCTACTCAAGAAAGACAGCTTTGCTTGGGGAAAGGATGCACACGCTGCTTTTAATAACTTGAAGGCAGCCATGATTCAATTACCTGCTCTAGATGTACCTGATTTCTCTAAGAAGTTTGTGGTGGAATCTAACGCATCAAGCAAGGGGCTTGGAGCAGTTCTGATGCAGGAAGGGCGTCCTCTGGCCTTTTGGAGTCAACCCCTTTCCAAGAGAGCCCAGAAGAAGTCAGTATATGAGTGGGAATTAATGGCAATGGCACTAGCAGTTCAGAAGTGGCGGCACTACCTAATGGGACACCATTTCACCATTCTGACAGACCAGAAAAGTTTGAAATTCTCGACTGATCAAAGGTTATGGAGTGAAGACCAGTACAAATGGATGTCTAAACTCATGGGATTTGATTTTGATATCAAGTTTCAGGCTGGAAGGGAGAATAAAGCTGCAGATGCTTTGTCTAGACAGATGCAATTCGCTGGCCTTTCTATTCTGCAACATGAAGACATTGAGGAATGGGCCGAGGAGGTATCCAGAGATGAGAAGCTGCGCAAAATTCTGGATGATTTGCTTCATCATTCAGAATCACATCCTGGTTATGAACTTAAAGGGAATCGGTTGTATTTTAAAGGCAGAATGGTGTTACACAAACAGTCCCCTAGAATCCCAGGTCTGTTAGCATAATTTCATAGCTCTCCTACAGGGGGTCATTCTGGTTTCTTTAGGACCTACAAGCGATTGGTCAATGTGGTTTATTGGGAGGGCATGAAACGTGACATCCAGGATTTTGTGGCTGGTTGCGATTCTTGCCAACGTAATAAATATGACACGCTGTCTCCTGCAGGCTTGTTGCAGCCCCTACCCATTCCCCAGCACAGTTGGACAGATATATCAATGGATTTCATTGGGGGCCTCCCTAAGGCAAAAGAGATGGACACTATATTCGTAGTGGTCGACCGGTTAACTAAATATGCTCATTTCATTGGCATCTGTCATCCTTTTACAGCGAAAGAGGTTGCAGCAGTTTTCTTAAAAGAGGTGGTTCGTTTGCATGGTTTCCCGTCATCCATAGTATCGAATAGGGATAAAATCTTTCTCAGCCAGTTTTGGAAGGAGCTGTTTCGCTTAGCCGGGACACAATTGAAGTTCAGTATCGCTTACCACCCACAAACCGATGGCCAAACGAAAGTAGTCAACAGGTGTTTAGAAGTGTATCTACGTTGTCTGACAGGGGCAAACCCGCGAAGGTGGCCAGATTGACTAATGTGGGCTGAGTTTTGGTTCAATACAAATTATAGTGCCTCAACGAAGACTACGCCTTTTAAGGCACTTTATAGGCAGGACCCACCTATGTTGTTAAAAGGCACCACTATACCTTCTAAGATTGAGGAGGTTAATAAGTTAACTAAAGACCGAGATGAGCAGCTCGAGAAATTGAAGCAAAATTTGCTGCGGGCTCAGGAGACTATGAAGGTTATGGCTGATAAAAAGCGGAGGCATGTGGAGTTGAAGGAAGGGGACTGGGTGTACTTGAAGATTCAGCTGTATAGATTGAGATCTTTGGCCAAGCGACCCAATGAGAAGCTGTGACCTCGATTCTACGGGCCTTATCAGATCACTCAAAAGCTAAGTTCAGTAGCTTTTCGCCTGCAGCTTCCTGAGGGCTCTCAAATTCACCCTGTTTTCCATATTTCAGTCCTCAAGAAGAGTCTCAAGTCTGACTGCACACCCCAACCACTTCCACCATGCTCTCTGAGGAGTATGAGCTGCAAGTACGTCCGGCAGAGGTTCTGGAGACACGCAAAACTGCTCAGCACGATTTGGAAGTCCTCATCAGGTGGCATGATCTACCCGCACATGAAACCAGCAGCACAGATTCAGGATCAGTTTCCTGACTTCCACCTTGAGGACAAGGTGGATCTTTTAGGGGGGGTATTGATAGGAGACCACCTATATTCAGGGTGTATAAGAGGAAAGGTAGGCGAGATGCAAGGGATAATGATAAGGAAGATTTATTAGTTAGTTAGAGATAAGGTAGGAGGAGTGAGAATCGTAATAATAGGAAGTTAATTAGGGAAGTTAGGATAGTAGCAGGAATATTAGTAGGGAAATTTGTTGGTTAATGCACTTTTAAATAATGGGAGGGAGAGCAGTGGGAGGCATCGGAGAGATCACTATTGTTGGAGAGTATTGGCCTCTCGAAGAGCCATCTTTGTATTCTGTTTCTCTTTCCCTAATTTCTGGTTATCTCTAATTAGAATCCTAGGGTTCAATCAATAAAAGGTTCGTTGTTTTTCTTATTTATCCTAGCCTGATTACCAGTGTCTAACAGAAGGTTGTAGGCTGTCACCAAATTTAGCGTTTGCTTTGAAGCAAGGGTTTTGAATCACTCAGTCCTTCTAATTTTAATAGAAATTCATTTTTGGCACTCAATTTATATTGTTCAATTTACTCCTCAAATTTTGGAATTTCAATTTCTTCCTCTGAATTTTGAATATAGCAAAATTTAATCTTTCAAGTTTCACAAATGGGTTCTTTTTTGTATTTCTTTATTGATGCATTGTTACATTTAATAAAAAGACATAATTATATCCTTGTTAATTATAAATTATTTCTGTTACCTTCACAATATTAAAATTAAAATCTTTCCTACAACCATATAATTTGGAATGTAATTGAAGTATTAAACTCACTTTTGTGGAGAACTAGCGTAAAAACTTTTAACAATTTAAAGCAGAGGGGTTAATTGAATGTATGGAAATTGTTATGATTATAAAACTATTTGTGTGCCTTCACCCAAAAGCTTAAACTTTTGGGATAATTGATTTATGATATGGTGTGGTCAAGAGGTTTATTATTGCTACCCCCGTTCTAAGAATGAAAAGAAGTTGAATTTCAGATATAGGTGGGTGAGTCAGTGCATTGGGGCATGTTATAACTAAAAACCCATTTGTGTGCTTTCATTGAGCTGCTCAAACTTTTGGGATAATTGGTTCATTACAGAAACTAGAGCGAATTACTTTTACTCTTAGAATGTTTTCCATACATTTAATTTTTTTTAACTTTTTATTGATGTCCTGTTCATGAGATGTTGGAATACAAGTCAAGAAACCAAGATGCTTTAAAATCAATTCCAGGATTTAAGGGACTTCTTTTGGTTCAAAATTATTTGTCTTCTTAAAAATTTCCTTGATTCACAGCAATGAGATTCTTCTCATAAACTTCGCATAAATATGCTGTGTAATTCTATTTCTTTTTTATGTTGGTCACCCATGCTGGTCCTTTAAGAGGACTGAGTTCAATTTCTCCCTTCATCAGCAACCTCCCAAAAACAATTTTACAGCATGAACTCCAGTTTAAGCATTCTGGTGTATATGACATCTTGTGGCAGGTTGACAAAGCTAGCGATCCCCGGAAAATCAGGCTAGAAGCTGAGAAAAGAGAAGATGTTGTATGCATATCTGCTTTAAGTGGTGAGGGCTTAACAGAATTTTGTAATGCAGTTCAAGACAAGCTAAAGGTACAAAGTTGAAACCAAGCTGCGTAGTTTAAACGATTTTTCTAAAATGTGTCCAAGGCACATGTTAAGAAATCAAGAATAGTAAGTTTTTATTGAAGTTTGTAGCATTCAATGTTAGTAATTCATTATATTTTGTGATATCTTGTTATTTATTTTCATTAAAATCTTACTATATATAAGTTCTTATTGTATGTCATTAAGCACATGTCAGAAAAATCATAATTTAAAATATACCTTTTTACTTTTTGGTAACATGTAGTCCTTTTATTTGAACTATTTACATTTGCTAATCAAGTTCTATAATTCTTCAACAGGACTCCATGGTTTGGGTAGAAGCTTTGGTCCCATTTGAAAATGGGGACCTTCTCAGCACCATACACCAGGTTGGAATGATTGAGAAAACTGTAAGTAGCCAATCAACCAATTGTCACCTGTTGATCAAATTCTGGAACTGGTTTTTCCTTTCCCTTTTAAACTGGCGGACTTTACGTTGTTTATCATGTCATGGTTTTTCTGCTTGTTATTGTTGGATTTCCTTACATTTTACTTTTAATTATAGGAATATACAGAGCAAGGGACATATATCAAGGCACATGTGCCCCTGCGTTTTGCAAGAATGCTTACACCCATGAGGCAACTGTGTGTTTCGCGATCTTAACTTTCTTTAATATATTTTATTTTTTAATAATGACTTTCTTGAATATTTGCCATTCGCTAGTGCAGAAAATAGTTATTATAATTTTTCGTCACATCTGTTTGAAGCAATGGGTTAACTTGCAGCATAATTTGTACATATGTATGTAATTATTGAAATCATGTTAGCAAGCCCCCGAAGATGGAGACGCTATAGGATGGCAATTATAATTCTTTGTTAAGATTTTAAATATTATTTAATTATTAAGGTAGCATATTCTGCAAAATTCCTAAGCTATTAGAAAATTAGGAATTTTAATGCTGATCAGGAGTAACATGAACAACCACCTGATGTGGTCCTACTCTCCACTGTCTACAATACAATAATATACTGTAAATGTGTGGGCCAACTGTTCTTTTGGGGGAAAAAAAGAGGAATAGTATCTCTTTTCAAATATACTTATACGCCAAAAAGAAAAATTAGTAAATTACTGTCTCCTTGTCCATGTGTTAAGGAATTATATTGTATAAATTATAAAACTAAAGCTAGTTAACGCGAGATGTTTTGGCATGTGCAGTAAATAGCAGAGATTACTTATAACTGGGGGTGGCAAAATGATTCATGTATACATAATTCATTCAGTCAATCTGTCCATACTTAAATTCTATTGAATCTCCTTCTATAATGACAACATAACTAATGATTGGATGGATTACTTTAGTGGATGAATAGTTAACGTTCATTCATTTTTATTTTCATTTTATTGGATCACTAAATTATTAAAAAAGGATTACGGGTTAATAAAGTTATTTCTGCCACTTGTACACCGTTGTGTATGATCGAGTGACCTTTGCAGTTGTTATTGTAACTTTGCAACCCTCTTTATATCTTTCCTGTGAGGAAGAGATGAATATTCTCACACAAGGACAAGAATACGAAATGAATGAAGTAAGACGGTTTTAACTTTAGGGAGAGAGTGAGAAAGAGAGAATAAAATATCCAATGTAATGGATGATAAATTATTTTTGACCTATCCCTTGTAATTCAACTCAAAATCCGTCTAAACCATCTATTTTACCCTCCTAAGCAAGTATTTTGTTAGTTTCATGGGCGTTTATAAAATATAGATAAAATTAAGAATATAATTTTTAAAATTAAGAGGAAGTTGATTCTTTAATGTTATTTTAATAATGATTTGTAAGTATTTTACTGTGTAATGTTGTCAAAGAAATTTGAGTAATGATAAAAGAAATAAAAATAATTAAAAATTCTTGCTCTTCAAAGAGGAAAGAGTATTGATTTGATAAAAAGAAACAAAATGACTCATAAAAAGATAAAGATACCTAATTATGTGAGAAAAAGAATTATATTTTTATATTAGACTTAAATTTTATTTTTAGTTCATATAAAAATACAATGAGTTTTATGTAACTCCCATATTTTCTTTCTTGCTTTTTTTATCTACGACTTCTTCAAAATTTTGTTGTTAGTCTTTGTGGTTACTGTCTTACTGATGTAGCTAAGAAATATTCAACAAACTCATCATCCATAGAAGTATGTAATTGTCATGTGAAAGCAAGCCTGGCAGTTCAATTGGGGTTCAAACGATAAAAAAAAGTATATGATATTCAGTTAAGCAATGCGCGTATATAACAACCGAGAGTAGTAAATAATCTATCAGCCATCACGATACACCCGTTATCAAGATCTTCTATAACTTCAAATAACTCCGAAAGATCTCTGCCTTTGAACAAAATATTAAATATAAATGTATAAAAATTGTAATCAATGGATGAACAACAGCATGTACTGGATCCATATCCACTTGTATACTTGGAATCATGTTCGTCTTTCTTTCTTATATCCGAAGAAGAAACAGAAAAACACAACAATCTAACCGTAACGCGGTGTCCGTAACTTTTGAACAGTAGATGAAGACACTGTAGTGTCTTATTTCAGTTTTTCAACGCGTAAAAGACCTTTCATATCATTACCACGCGCCAGCAATAAAATGACTCAGCTTCTTCAGCTCCAAATCCAATAATAATGCCCAAGAAAATAAATAACAAAGGAGGGATTTTCCGTGTTACAATATCAATACTTGTCCATTTCTGCACTGTTCATTTTGTTTGATTTGAAGTTGAGCTAAAATGATTTTGAGCTAGGAATGTAATGGAGATTGAGATACATATACAAATTAATTTTTTGGTTTAGAACACAGCTTAATTTAGAATAACCTTACGCCAATTGATCCAACAACACTTTTTTAATTAAAATGTGCATTTTTCATTGAAAATATATATATATAAATTGATTTTGTAACTTTAACATCAAACATTTAATCTGTACACATTCTACTAATGCTCAATTCTTATTTCTCGGTTGAAATTGGTAACTTTATGCTACTACACTTTTAAGCTCAATTATGCTATGATTCTTCATAAGCTGTAATGCGACTTCTGGCACTTGAATCAAGTCTTCATCAATATAAGGCCAATTTATCCATAACACATAATAAAACCATTGGGGGGGGGGGGGAGTTCCAGATTGAGCTTATTTACGTCATAATAATATATCAAAATAGAATGAATTCTGCACTGGTTTGATCTGGTCTAGGAGCAGGTAATACTGAACCACTCTCAGAACTAAACACTTTGCATCAGAAGCGATGCAAGCAACATGTTGTTTGTTGAAATAGTCATGCCTTCATCGCACAATAAGAAAGAGAGAGAGTGGCTTTATCTTTTGGGCAGTATAAATATCAAACAAACCAATCCATCAATACAACATACATACAATCATCAACTCAGTTGAATTGTAACACTGGTCAACATGTCTTTCATCAAAGCGAATCTTTTTGTAGTAATAGCTTTCCTCTCATTTATACTCTCCAAGGCTCACCCTGGATTCCACTTTGGGTGGAGTGGTCATCATGGGGGAATATCTTTTGGTCTTTCACCTCAATTCTATCAGTTTTCATGCCCTCAAGCTAATGACATTGTCATGTCAATGTTGGAGAAGGCCATTGCTAAGGATATCAGAATGGCTGCTTCTCTACTTAGACTTCACTTTCACGATTGCTTCGTGCAGGTGAATCAATAACACTAGTCAGCAAGACCTACAGGAAAACAATAGCAATAATAACATTAAATAAGATCAAGTTCGTTTCCAAAATCAATTGCGAAAATTCTTATTGTTAGTACAATAACTTGTCTTAATAATAGGCCAACCCATGTAAAAAATGTTCTGACCATATTCTTAATTGACAGTGGGACATCTTAACATAATTTAAATTGTCAAGGGTTTACATTTCCTTGATTTTTTTTATTTTTATTTTTTGTGATGACAGGGCTGCGATGCATCGATTTTGTTGGATGATAGTGCAACAATAGTGAGCGAAAAAAACGCTGGACCAAACAAAAATTCTGTCCGAGGTTTTGAAGTGATTGATGAGATCAAATCTAAGTTGGAAGAAGCATGTCCTCAGACTGTCTCCTGTGCAGACATTGTTGCCCTTGCTGCCAGGGGCTCCACTATTCTTGTGAGAAAACACTCACTCCTCCCTATTATCTACTTACTATGCATGTTATAAATATATACAAGTAATTTAGCACTTCTCAGAAGACGGACAAGGATATCTTATTTTTTTGCGCAAACTAGGTATGTAGTTAGTGTTTATTTATTTAAGCAAATTTTTTTGCTTAAATAAAAATGAAAAATACATTAACTGAAAGACAGAATGACTATAGAAAATTCTGATCCTACAAATCACATCAAACTCTCGCTAATTCATTATATTGAATTAACTATTTATTAGTTTTTAAAACTCTTTACAAATATTCTATTACCGGTGTATCTAATATATGCATCTAAAAATACATCTCAAATATAAAGAGAATGCTTAAAAATGTGTTTCTTCACAAATGATACAAAAATAATTTTATATTTTTTTAACTCATGAAATTTCATTAGTTCCATTCATTGCTTATTATGTCACACTCATTATTTCATATATCCTAATAAATTATATTCAATAATAAAAAATATATTAAAAAGAACGTTTGACCAAAAGTATGCTAGATTTTGAAATTTATTAACTGTTTTGAAACAGAGTGGGGGACCCAATTGGGAGCTTCCATTAGGTAGGAGAGACTCAAGAACAGCAAGCCTTAGTGGCTCAAACAAAAACATTCCCCCACCAAATGCTACCATAGAGAATCTCTTAACATTTTTCAAGCGTCAAGGCCTTGATGAAGTGGACCTTGTTGCCCTCTCAGGTTGAACTTCAACTTCTCATACCATGCTATTAGTATTTCTTAGTAACGAGTCACAGCTTTTTAACACTTTGTCATAATGTAGGTGCTCATACCATTGGGGTGGCAAGATGTGCAACATTCAAGCAAAGACTATACAATCAAAACGGAAACAACCAACCAGATGAGAATCTAGAAAAGTCCTTTTACTTTGATTTGAAGACGGTGTGCCCAAAATTTGGTGGTGATAACTTTATTTCTCCCTTGGACTTTGGCTCCCCAAGAATGTTTGATAATACCTATTTCAAACTTGTACTTAAGGGAAAAGGGCTTCTTAATTCAGATGAAGTGCTTCTTATGGGAAATGTTAAGAAGACTCATGAACTAGTCAAAAAATATGCAAAAGATGAGAGTCTCTTCTTTGAACAATTTGCCATATCCATGATCAAGATGGGGAACCTCCGTCCTCTCACTGGTTTTAATGGAGAAGTTAGAAAGAATTGTCGTCGGGTTAATTAATTAATTAATTAGGCAACATTGCTATATTTATGAGTCATTAAGTGTTTAGTTATGTTATAATACTTTTTCTTCTGAAGTTGACATGCATGGCATTATATAATTACCTACCAGAAAGTAGAAAAAGAGGAAGGATTATATAAATGTATTTAATCGTTGGTTGTTATTAATTAAGAGTGTTTGAATTATGTTGCTTCTATATTAATTTGATAAGCCTCGTGTTGAAAGTTATTGTCCAATGAAAGGACTTAACATAAATGTTGATTTTAAGGAATTTGACTCCTTTTAAGATAAGATAATCATGAAAAAAAATGATAAATTCATACTTTTTTAAATCTTATTTTTGTAGCATTAAATCCAATTTTAACAATTGAATTAGGCATATTTCAACAGTTTAATTATTAATTAATTCTTGGATGTAATATGAATAAATTTTGAAACAAATAACAGTGGATGGATAAAAAAATATTATTAGTCTATTTTAATTATTCAAAATGTGTTAAAAAATCTAATTCATCCATAACTTATTTAATAAAGATTCATTTATCCAACTTCTCCATTTAAAATATATTATATTATATTATATTTTTTATAAAAAAATTTAATTTGCATACACTTTCAATATTATAAAATAAAGGATTCATCTTTAAATACTTATGTTTAACTAATACATTTTAAACTGCTTGATCTAATATATTACAAAATATTATAGGTGGTTCATTATCCATCTAATAAACAAATGCTGATAAAACTAATTTATTCATTCATTTTAATTTTTATAATTAAATGTGTTGGTTAAATTTATATATAGATATATTAATGGTGAATAGATATATAAATTGAATTGTTACTCCTAATTAAGTCATATAATTATGTACATTTTATGGAATACAATTATGTTTTTTTAAGGGCTATTAAATTTTCCCTAAAATACGTGTCTTGAAATAAAGAATAATAAGAATAGTAAACAATACATATAAAAGCAAAAGGAATTATATACATATGAATTATGACGTTAACCATGGAAGAAGATTGATGCTAGATGTTTGATCTTTCATCATATATTCAATTAATTGCTTGTATTTCCGATGTTATAAAAAAAAATACATTTGTTAATAAGTTTCTTAAGTGATAGTAAAAACTTTTAAAAACCTGATAATTAAACAATACCTAATATCCGTTAAGTAATCAAAATAATTTATAAGTATTATTAATTATTAATGAATAATAAAGCATCGTAAAAGTTATAAAAGAAATCGTAAAAAATATTCCTAGAGTGTTTGTTCAAGAACAACGTAAAAGAATATAAGAAAAAAATTTAAAATATGATTTCCCACTAACTTGATCGCTAACTAATGAAACAATTTATCAATAAAGATTTCTATAGACAACATGATAAATCAAGTATGTCTATAACATTTATTTTTCGAAAATTAACATTCCACTTGTATTAATGCTTATGGTTAAGATATAATATTAGTGGACAATAAGGTGGCACTTGGGAAGGTTCAGTTAAATTATAAGGTACTGTGGAGAACTCTGAATCTGAAATTCTGAATCCAAATCGGAATCTGAAGCTATGAGACGAATAATAATTTATGATTTGTATTGTTAATTACTTGTAAGAGCAAAGAGTAAACGCAGAAACCCTAGAATGCGAATTTGAATTGAATAGAGAGGTTTGGAAGCAAAATGGGGAAGCATTCGCAGGCATGGTTGGCAATGAGGAAGAAGAGATGGCCGTTAATGCTAGTGGCACTCTTGTCCCTCTCCACCGTCACCGTTCTCTTCATACGAACCACTTCCGATTCGTGCAACGGTAACTCCCCGCCTCAGGCTCAGGCTCAGGCTCAGGTTCGGCATTTGGAAGAACCTCAGGCTCCGATTTGGTCATCGTCGCAACCAAATCCTCTTGAATTCATGAAGTCGAAGCTTGTTCTGATGGTTTCTCACGAGCTTTCTCTCTCCGGTGGACCTCTTTTGCTTATGGAATTGGCTTTTCTGTTACGCGCCGTTGGATCCGACGTCGTTTGGATCACTAATCAGAAACCTCCTCAACCCGACGAAATCATCTACAGTTTGGAGAACAAGATGTTGGACAGAGGAGTACAGGTAGTTCTTAAAAATTTTCAGATTTGTTATCGTAATGAATGCATTCCAAATTGCACGTTTAATGTTATGAGAATTTTGAAGAATAATGTTAGAAAAAGGTACATTACATACTGATTATTAATGTATGAGAATTTCGAAGAATAGTGTGTTGTATACGAGAATGTGATTGTGATTGTGTTTGGCTTGTGGCAGGTGTTGCCTGCGAAAGGCGAAAGGGCTGTGGAAACGGCTCTAAAGGCTGATTTGGTAATTCTGAATACTGCTGTGGCCGGGAAGTGGCTTAATGCAGTTCTCAAGGAAAGAATTTCGGAGGTTCTTCCAAAGGTTTTGTGGTGGATTCATGAAATGCGAGGGCATTATTTCAAAGTGGAATATGTTAAGCACCTCCCTTTTGTTGCAGGTGCAATGATCGATTCACATACGACTGCTGAATACTGGAAGAATAGGACTAGGGAGCGGTTAGGGTATGATTCGGTTTTGTTTTGGGTTAATGTGTTGCTGTGTTCACTCTGCTACTTTGTGTTGTGTTGTTAACTGTGTGTTTGGTCTGACTTTGTAGGATTAAAATGCCTCAAATTTATGTAGTGCATCTTGGGAATAGCAAGGAACTTATGGAAGTTGCAGAAGATAGTGTGGCAAAGAGAGTTCTTCGAGAGCATGTTCGGCAATCTCTTGGAGTGAGAAATGATGATCTACTCTTTGCCGTCATAAATAGTATGATCTCCCTTCTTGATGTTTATTAACTGTACACATTTAATATGCTACTGTTGTTCATCGGACTCGTTTTTGTCACATGGAATGCATGCTCTGTTGGCAAGTTCATTACCTGATTGGCATCTTTCGACTTTTAGAAGCGATTTTCTTTTGTTGAGAAGGGGAACAGGGAGATATTGATTGACCCAAGAGGAAGAGCTCTAAAATTAGTAATTAGCTTCACTTTCCTGGATGATGAATTTAACGTTTATCATTTTCCTTTAGAAGTATTTGTTTTAGAATAACTTGATTCATTATATCTGTATGTCAAATTTAGTTTTTCTCATTGCAATGTGGATTAGATAGCTAATCACAATCATAAATATATTTCCTGGATGTGTATATATGTCAAGTGGGAGAGCATAGGGTTAACATATGTTTATTATATCACTTTTTCTAATGTAATATGTACTAAATAATTATATATTTTTATAGTGCATGCCAATTATCCTCCCCCCCCCCCCCCACCAGGGTACATATTCCTTCCATACATTTCGACAAACATTTTACCAATCGGTATTTTAAGCACCAGAGATCATATAATTGCAGGTGTTTCACGTGGTAAAGGGCAGGATCTTTTTCTTCGGTCCTTTCATGAAAGTTTGCTCCTCATCCAGGAGAAGAAACTTCAGGTGCCATCTTTGCATGCTGTAGTTGTAGGGAGTGATATGAATGCTCAGACAAAGTTTGAAATGGAGTTACGTAAATTTGTGGCGGAGAAAAAAATCCAGGATCGTGTTCACTTTGTAAACAAAACCCTAGCGGTGGCTCCTTACCTGGCTTCTATTGATGTTCTTGTTCAGAATTCTCAGGTATCTTACAATAATATGCCCACTAAGTTGAGCATGACCAGAATATGCTTTTTATTTGATTGTTTTGCAAAATGGAAGTTGTTGCCTGAATTATTAATCTTGCTTCTCATAGAAAGACTTCATTGTAAATGGATGTGTTTCTAGCTTCTGTAAGTATCAATGCAAAGTTAGCAAGGGACCTGAAGATAGATTTCATACTTGTCTTGAGGCCCTGTTTAAATTTAATGCCTCATACTTCTATAAACTAACAATAAGTTTTACATTGCTACTTGGATTTTTCTCATGAATGCCTTGAAATAATTTATGAAGTTATTCCTAAATTTCTCTTCATATCAGGCACGGGGAGAATGTTTTGGGAGGATAACCATTGAAGCAATGGCATTTCGCTTGCCTGTACTTGTAAGTATACATTGCCTTGACAATATCTCTTTCCTCTTACATTTTTTTTGGGGTTTTAAATTTAATTTCCTTTAGTTGTGTCAAAATTCCAATTTTCCATCAGTAGGTCCATTTTGCTATATATGCTACTTTGCTTTCTTTATCCATTTCTCTCTCTAATATCTGTGATGTTGTTTGAATAATCCCAGGGAACTGCAGCTGGGGGCACCATGGAGATTGTGGTAAATAGGACAACTGGTTTGCTGCATCCCGTTGGAAAAGAAGGTGTGACACCTCTTGCAAATAACATTGTGAATTTGGCAACTCATGTTGAGAGGAGGCTGACTATGGGTAAGAAAGGATACGAGAGAGTGAAGGATAGGTTTCTGGAACCCCATATGGCACATAGAATCGCATTGGTTTTGAAGGAAGTGTTGCGGAAGGGTGGCCATAATTAAATTAACCAGCTTAGGTGCTTCGCTGTTCTGAAACTGTAAATTAATTCTACAGGGGAAAAGAGAATTTCTTGGTGTGGTCACTTGTATACTTGATGTCATATGTACCATTTGTTGTGGGAAATTGGTGGATGTATAGGGTTGTGATGTGATTATTTTCCTCGCTTTGGACGCTTCCTGTCTTGACGAACAGTAGTACTTTTTTAGGTAGTGTCTGAGTGTGACAGGCAGTAGCATCCAAATACAGAACTGAAACCTTTTTTCTTTGGACGGGTGAAATTTTTCATCTTGTCTGACGGATATATAGATTGAATAGAGTGCATAGTGCAAGTGAAAAATATGCTGATTGAAAGAAAATTAGGGAGCATATCACATTCAACTTTAACATAATAAGCTTTCACAAAACAAAAAAAGAAATTGTTTGGATGACAAATTAAAAAATGATGACTAACTTTTATGTGTAAATTTGAATGCCAAAATGGATCGCATTGATTTGATTCACCAGTCATTTTGATTCTTATGTTTACTGATATCTATCGATTTTAAGGAAATACATACATGGTGCGTTAAGTTTCACATTGCATGCCCATGTGGCATGGAAATCGTGCTCATCTTTTAAGGAAGACGAGAGTAAGACATATTTGCCAAGGATTTTTACAAACATGGGCCGATACATCCAAATTTGTGAATTGTGCATTCTTCCTTGACGAAAAATTCTGTTTCATCAAGATATTCTATGGCTAGAGTCTCGTGTTATTTTACCCTAGTCTTGTGTGCGTAAATGAAAGAAAAATACAAGAGGATAAATACAAAGAGGGGAAAAAGGAAAGTGAATTCTTCAACCAAAAAATGTGTAGAACAACAATTTTTTAGCATAGAAAGAAAGACGAAATTTAAGCCACGAGTCCATTGTGTTAGACTTTGCGTTCTCGTTATTTTCTATCTTTTTTAATAATAAATTTATTCATTTTCTTACCTATTTTTTTTCTCTTTATTTCCTATTTATTTATTTATTTTATTTTCTTTATAAAAAATTACTTATTAATTTCACACTTCCGTGATTAAAAGTGAGATATCCCGGGGTAGTTCGGGCATTGCGGTAAGATTGAAGAGGTTCCGCAGTTAAGCTGCTCTTTGCTTCATTGTATTGATATACATATTCGTTCAGCGCTATAGTTTCTACACTACTCTCTGCAGATACAAACTTGAATCTCATCGTTCCATTTTTCGATTTGAGAGTGTAGCTAATAACAATGACAGATGCTGAAGACGCCACTCGGCGCCGTACTGCGGTTGCGGATTACCGTAAGAAACTTCTTCAACACAAGGAATTGGAATCCAGAGTACGATCCGGTTCGTTTCTCAATCTCGCACTTGTTCCTTTTCATTCCCTTTTAATGCTAATAATTCCCCCTTGTTTTCGTTTTCACCATTTTATTATTATTATTATTATTCGGATTGATTAGGGTTTTATTATGAATTGTGATTATTTGGGTTTGAAACGGAATTGCAGTTAGAGAGAATTTGCGAGCTTCAAAGAAAGAGTTCAATAAAACAGAGGATGATTTGAAGTCTCTTCAAAGTGTTGGCCAGATCATTGGCGAAGTTCTTAGGCCTCTTGACAATGAACGCTGTAATGATTCTGTGCTTTTCGTTTAATGTTTTGATTGATAACATTCTATTCAATTTCATAATGTTTTATAATATAATATATTCAGATTATGTACAATGGACACTGTGCCTCACCCGTCACTGATTCTGGATTATGTTATTATAATAAAATAATTTGGTGATGTAGTGACTCCTTAAATTGTTTTCTGTTTCCTGCTTGGTTGATGCGAACTTAAGATTATAAGAACACTAGTTATTGTATGTTTTTGTATCTGCTATCTCAGTGATTGTTAAAGCAAGCAGCGGACCTAGGTATGTGGTTGGCTGCCGCAGTAAAGTGGATAAGGAAAAACTGACTGCCGGTACAAGAGTGGTTCTTGATATGACAACGCTCACTATAATGCGAGCTCTTCCACGTGAAGTATGTTTTTTCAGTTTATTCCTTTCAGATATTTATTTGATGCATATGATGTTCAAGTTCCTGTTGGGCTGTCTGATTTGTTTTCTTTCTGCAAATCATCTGCTAGTTTTTCATGGCTGATAGTCAGTATGATCTATCTTGAGTTGACAGGTTGATCCGGTAGTTTATAATATGCTGCATGAGGATCCTGGTAATGTCAGTTACTCTGCTGTTGGTGGTTTATCTGATCAGATAAGGGAATTGAGGGAATCGATTGAATTACCTCTGATGAATCCTGAACTCTTCCTTCGAGTTGGAATTAAACCCCCTAAGGTGATTACCTTTTCACCACACTATTTGGTGGTCCCTGACCTCTCTTAGAACAGAAATGTGTTTTGGCAGCATTGCCACCTAATTATCTACAATTTCTTTTGGTGGAAGTGTATTTTGGGGAGCCATGATTTATAATTTTGATCAGCATCTTCTCAATTCTCATCTGCCAGGGTGTTCTCCTTTACGGACCTCCTGGTACTGGTAAAACGTTGTTAGCTAGGGCAATTGCCAGTAACATAGATGCAAACTTCTTGAAGGTCAGATTTGTTTCTTTTCTGAATTCTTTTTTGTTTCGAAGGTTCCCTTAATCTTTAAATATAATGTAACTTTCGGAACATTTGGGTGTAGGTTGTTTCGAGTGCAATAATTGATAAGTACATTGGAGAAAGTGCCAGGTTAATACGAGAAATGTTTGGGTATGCACGTGATCATCAGGTAGATTCTTATGTGAAGTTCCATACTATATGTTAATATTTTCTAACGGAATGTAATTCTAAATCTCCAATTTGTTTGTTAAGCCTTGCATCATTTTTATGGATGAGATCGATGCCATTGGTGGTCGTCGTTTCAGTGAGGGAACAAGTGCTGATCGTGAGATTCAAAGAACACTAATGGAGTTGCTTAACCAACTTGATGGGTTTGATCAACTTGGGAAGGTATATCATGCTTTGCAACCCTATTAATTTAATTTGTAAAAAAAAACAGTTGCATCCTTTCCTTATGAATTCAAAGGATAAGGAACTTCATCCTACTTTTTTTTCCCCTTTTTGGTGGGGAGGCTAGTGGATGGTGGACCAATGATAAGCTTACAGAAGAAATGCATTTCACGTATCTTAATTTTCAGGCAGTATTTTTTTTTCAGTGTCAAAGTTTGCAACTTTTCTTGATGTATTAAACTCCCAAGATGGTATAATGTTAACAAATGAATTCTACACTGACCATTTTTCAAGCAAAAGAATGAGTGGCCTTTTTTCCATTAGTACTAATGAAATTGTATTGTAAGGCTGAAATTTTTGAGGGGATTTCTCTGCATCAATTTTGTGCAATATTTAAGGTGCAGCATATTTAGTACTAACTTCATTCATTTATGTGAGATATAATTCAAATGAAATGTTAAGCATATCAATCTTTCTGATTAATGTATCTTCTGGATATGGTGGTTGATATTTCTTAGAAATATGATTGTTCAGGCAAATTGCAACGGTTGGTTGATAACAATTAACAACACAGCGGTCTGAAATCTGAATGCATGTTGTAGGTTAAAATGATAATGGCAACAAACCGGCCTGATGTACTTGATCCTGCTCTCTTGCGTCCTGGAAGATTAGATAGAAAAATAGAAATTCCATTGCCTAATGAACAATCAAGAATGGAAATTCTCAAGATTCATGCTGCTGGGATTGCTAAGCATGGTGAAATAGATTATGAAGCTGTTGTGAAGCTTGCAGAGGTCAGTCCTGTTTGGATTAGTTTCGGTATCCAGTAGGTGCATGCTTGATGTGTTTTCTGTTGCAAATTGCTCAGGGATTTAATGGAGCTGATCTTCGAAATGTGTGCACGGAAGCTGGAATGGCAGCAATTCGTGCAGAACGTGATTATGTGATCCATGAAGATTTTATGAAGGTGGGTTCTTTCTTTGAGGAAGCTTTTTTTTTTTGTGTGTATTAATCATGTTCAAAGGGATTACTGGTCCATGACACTTCCAGGAAGAATAATTTGACTTGTTTCTTTGGTTCCTAGGCTGTTCGAAAACTGAATGATGCAAAGAAACTTGAATCTAGTGCTCACTACAATGCTGATTTTGGCAAAGACTAAAAGCTATGGATATATGTAGGCAGTACTTCTTTTGAGCCCAACATACTTCATGCAATTTGGTTAAACTCATACGGACAGACAAGCAGTCTCTTTGGGCTAGCATTGTATTATCTGAATTATGCAGTTGGGTCAGGTGGAGAACTTAATGGTAAGGGAAGGTAAAGGGAAGATGTCCGCTTGAGTTATTTGCCAAAACTAATTGTATTGATTTTTATTTTTTTTTGGGTTTTCTTTTGGATTATGTTTACATAATTTATGTCACTGATCTTTGAATTTGATCTAGAGTTTGTGCATCTCCCCATTTATTATTGAAGACTGCTTGTTAAGTCAATCTGCGTTGCAATTTTCATCTATAAATTTGAGTTGGTGTTTAAGCTAGAGCAATGATAAGTTTTATTAGTTGGAAGAGGGGGAAGGGTCGCACATAATGCTACTGAACAATATAATCGTTGAGTTTGAATTTCAGTTTCACCTCTTTTTTGGTCAATTAACCACTACTCAATCCAGGTAGCTAAGCAGTCATTATAGCTTTGTCGCCTTGATCTGAAGTGTGGTAAACTTATAATGTCATAAACTCTAGCCTCCTTATGAACGAATTTTGCCCACTATATATAGCGTAGAAATAATGTACGGAATAGATGTGGCCCAGGTACACAAAGCAATCAAATTCAGCTGTCAAACAGCTGCAAAATAACATATACTTAATTCAGTGACGTCTCCTTTTATGCAGTCTCTTTGATGTGGACAGAATGTGAAAATGTCAAACAGAGAAAGCTAGCTATGTCGCAATTTTGAGTTAGTCGACTTCCTCTTGATATTGGCTTGTTTGATGCCATTCTTCGATGTTGTTCTCTTGGTTAATTTGTGTTTTACCATTCTTACGATTTTGAAGAACCAGAATGCACTTACCAGCTGCAAACTCAGTCCCATAGCCTGTAACAGTGGAAAGAATTAAGCAAATGTGGCCCAGAAAATAAAGGAAGATTATATTTCTGAAAATGTTTTCTCTAAAGGAAAAGCTTACGAACTATACCTTTATGAGAAGTGGGTTGTTGGCAGATAAAGTTGCATATGTGATAAACGGTCCGATCAACATCCTAGCAAATGTAAATATGGCAGCAAATAGGATCTGTGCCATTGCGTCAAACCCAGTTTTTAGCGCACTTTGAAATAATAAATGTCAATTATTTTCAATCATAAATGATTAATCTTATATTACATATTTCCTTCGATCCTACTAATAAGAGTCAAGTACTTAATTCATCAAGACTAACAAAATATAATTGTCATAAATTTATACTTGGGTGTATTATAAATTAAATGAATGAATACATTTACTTTTATGGATAAAGAATGGGCACTTCATTGACACAAGCTTTACAATAAATAAAAATATAAAATGAACTTAATCATTAATGCATTTTAAAAAAGTTTTTATTTTTTATATTTAAAATCGAAAGATTTTAGTAGTTGTTTTTATAAATAGAACTTGAGATAGTATTATTTAATATGATTTAGTACGTTAATGGTAAGGAATGAAATAACATCTAGTATGTCATTTTAGAAGCATAGGTTAAGTGCTGTCCAGCGACACTTTGCGGCACTAGACTTTTAACTTTAATGTTATAAAGATACTCTATTTTAATGTTTGCTCTATAGCTAATCTGTAACTAATTCTATAATAAACTACTACATTTTTTAAATTCATTAAAATTTAATGTCACAACACGAATAAACATTGTGTTGTTTTTATAATGGCTAAAACATTAATGCTAGTTTTATATAAAAAAAATATGAATTCATAAATTAATGAGATGATTAGCTTGATTTTTAAAAAAAAATGCCAACTCTCGTATTTAGACATATGAATTCTGAAGTTCTCATGATTTTAAGGAGGAAATCGTGCTATTTAAATTGGATATAATAGGGTAAAATGAAAAACATGTAGAATGATTACAATTACGTTATACTTAATGCAGTAAGGTGAATGTTTGTTAATTTAATTTTAATAATGTTAATTTTGTAAAACTAATTTTGATTAAAAGTGGATTTGAAATAAAGAAATTTATTTTTAAAAACTTTTATCTTACAAATAAGCTTGTGATAAAGTTTTGAAATTTGCAATCCATTACAAAAATTATATACATATATATAGCTTCTAATCAAATATATTTTTTAAAATAAAATAAGGTTAAATTATACATTTAATTCTTATGGTTGACACACATCTATAAATTAGTCTTTGTATTTAACATAGTTATGTTTTAGTCTCTTTATAAGTTTTTTTTTGCTTTATATTTTTGTCTCTGCCATTATAATGATTAAAGGAATCAAATATCAACAAAATACTTGTGTAGGAACTAAAATGTTGGTTGTTTTAAATATAAAAATTAATATGTAAGTTTTTTTTAGACATAGAGATTGAAATATAAGTTTTTTTTAAGTATAGAAACTAATTTGCAAACATGTGAAATATAGAAATCAAATATGTATTTTAACTAATTATAATTATAATGTTAAAAAAGTTGCACAATTTAAACTTAAGTATCTTAATTAAGTATTTTTACAACTTTTGTAAGAATCAAACACTATTTAAGTCTATTTTTTTATATGATATATCAATTTTTATAATATATTTAAAAAATTCTTTTTCATATGAGAAATGAAATATTTATTATATTTGAGGTATAAAATTTATACTATTACTTAAAATTTTAGACAACAATTTTATTATATAATGAATTCATAAATTTTCTATCATGATATAAATAAAAAATTCTCATATATCAATTAAAGATCTCATTAATTAGTCATTTTACTATTTTTTCTATCAATTAAATATAAAAATATATCTAGACGTATCTAGTTTTTTTTATCATATTATATTGACTCAATAAAATTAGTATGCCTAAATAACTTTTTAAACTATAATAAAAAGTCTTTGTCATATGTGAATTATTCTTAGAATTTTATTAGTTATAATAATTATTTTTTGATTGATGTATGTATTTACCAAATCAATAAATTTTATTAATATATATGATAAACCCTAAAATCTTAAATCATAAACTTGATTTAAATTATGAATTTTCGGTATTTTTAAATTGATTATCCTTTTATGACTTAAATACAATATTTTTAGAATTTAGTTCCTCAAATGTTAAGATTGTAAGATTTAGTTATTGTCATCAACTTCTCTTTTATTAAGTGTTGAGTTAACTGATAAAAATTCAGCTCATTACTTTCACGTTTATGCCATGTTATTTAATTTTTTAAAATATTTTAAGCTTAATTATATTTTTAGTTCTTATAAATGTAGCACGTTTTATAATAAATCTTTTATAAAATTTTTTGTTAAGATTTAATTCTTGAAATGTTAAAAAGTTAAAATTTAATCACCGTTGTTAACTTCCCTTCTATCAAGTGTTGAGTTGTTTCATAGAAAATTAGCCTATCATTACCACATATTGTCATGTGATTTAATTATTTAATATTTTATTATTAAAAATTAATATTTATAAATAAGTACTTGACATATTTTAAATATTTACTAAAAAAAGTTTTCTAGAACCATCTTTCTAACGCCTTTTTCTCTTTCTCTCCTCTTTTCTCGTTAGTTTTACGTGTTTCGTCAACAAGTTATATGCATCTACGTTGGAATTCTCAACAAGATGTATGTCCTCTAACTCACCGTCAAGATGCTTATTGAACTTTTCAAGTTTAAACAACGAAGGGGAGAAGATAAAGAATAAAAAAAAGGCATCAAAAGGGAAGGAGATTAGGATTCTTAGAGATTATTTTTATAAATATTTAAAATATGTTTAGAAACTTATTTAAAAATATTATTTTTAAATAATAAAAATTAAAAAAATTATTTGATGTGACAATGATGTGAAAATATCGAGATTCAACATCTAAGAGAAGGGAATTGATCATAAAAACTAAATCCTAACAAAAAAATTTTATAATAACTTATCACAAAATATATTACATTTATAGGGACCAAAATTACATTTAAGCCTTATTTTATTTAGTAACTCATTTTTAATATTTTAGACAAATTTACTAAACATCTTTTATTTTTTTTCAATTTTTAGTTAAAATATACTTTTAATTCTTATAGTTAATACTTATATATGAATTAGTCTCTTCATTTAAAAAAAATATATTTTAATTCTCGTATAGGTAGTTTATTTTGTTTTAGTCTCTATTATTATAATATCGTTAACACATTTAGATAGGGATTAAAACAAAAGCAATTTCATAAATTGACTAAAACGTAACTTTTTTAAATATAAAAATTATTTTGTGTATTAGTGTGTACTATAGAAATTAAATGTATAATTTAACTTAAAATTAATTTTTACTTGCGTTATATTTTATACAAAATTACGTTTATATTCTGAAAACATGAAAGAGTACTGAAAAAGGTCCATCCTAGGCAAGAGTTTAGTGTGCGGCAAAAGTGTTGAGAAAAGAAAATAAATACAAAAATATGTTTGATTTTTATTTTTAAATTAATTTTCTGTTTAAAATATAATATAATTTATATTATATTTTATTTTTAAAAATAAAAAATGTTTTTAAAATAAAAATCAAACATGGTTTACCTTTCTTCTCACTTAAATACAATAATAAAAAATGAAAAATCTGGTGCAGCCTAAGTTTTACTTACATCAGCAGCCAAATTAATGAGGGTATCCCTATAACCAAGCTCCTTTAAAAGCTCCCTTAAATGCAAAAATGGGCTTGATATCTCTGTTATCCATATTGTCGCCACCATTTCTGAGCCACACTGTACACAAGATAAGCCAAAACCTCACTAGCTAATCATGAAATCCCCTCACAGAAGAACACAGAAAATTAGAGTAATAGGTGAGCAAGATTTTTTTCCCCTTCTTTTAAAAAAGAAACAAAAGGGTGGTATTGAAAATTGAGAAAGAGCTGCTCCAAAATTTTATTGGCAGTCTAGATAATCAAATACTCTGATCCACCTGTTCATGGGAATTTGGAAAATTTATTTTCTATCTGGAACCACCACGTTTCTATGGTCTCAGCCAATCACCATGTGATTTATGGTCATACTTTATAATTAATAAAAAAATATTAAAATTCTATCACATGTTGCGTGATGGTTAACTAAGACCATTGATACATGGTAATTTCAGATTATCTAATAATTTGTAGAGAATTGAGAAAGAATTTATATTATTTAAATTGGACTCATATTTCGCATCCCAACATAACATACCAAAACATGGTGCTGAGGAAGGAATAGAGTGCTAGAATATAAATAAGCAATGAAATAATAATTTGAGTGATTAACTACCTTTTGATAGCAAAGACCTGCTCCAAGTCCAACAATGCTTACCAAATGGTGGATGGTGTTGTCTAGATTCACTCTTTCATCAAAGTGACAACAAGCTAGATCATAAATGAGATATGAAAGGCTCACTGCTAGAACTTGCATCTGTTCATATCATAGTTCAAACATTCCACTTTTAATTAAAACACCAAAATTCATAGCAATGTTGAGGTTTCCCTCAAATTAGTAAGTGAATTCATTTAATATTTTAATCCAATACCTGCAGAGGAGAAGATTTTGAAGCCATAGGACAGATTGGACACCTCCAATCTTCAACAGAGAGTGAAGCCAATGTCACAGCCAAAGTTGCATGGATCGTAGACACAACGCGGTTGCAGAAATCAAAAGAGCGTTTGGGAAAGATTCTCCTCACTACAACAAAAGTTGATGCCCATGAAACAACTCCAACAACAATTGTCTTTTTAACATAGTCTTCCATTTCTCTATACCCTTTGACTACTGCAAAATATGTGTTTCAAACGAAGTTCTAGCAAATGCATTACCATATAAGCATCCACTAATTAAATTGACAAAAAAATGTGACACATGTACTCATACATGCAAACATTTATATATGCGTGTGGTTTAGAATTCACTAGGAGAGGACCCAAAGAAATAATAACTTGCATTCCATGTAACAACCCCCAACCAGAAAATGAGTGAGGTAATGGAGTATCACCAAATAGAGATAGGAATATGGACTTGTCAGCAAATTATTACCCAACTACCAAATTTATTATATGTATGCCGAGACAGATAGATGAATGAAACGAACATTAATTATATATATATATATATATATATATATATATATATACAAGGCAGTATTTTCTTACACCAGTATAAATTTAAAAATTCTTACATTCAATCTGAGCCTTTTATTTAACTTAAATTTAACGGATTATAATTTATTACTTTACCGGTCATTAGATTTAATTTAAATGAAAGGCTCAGATTAAATGTAAAAATTTTTAGACTTACACCAGTATAATAAGATCCTGCTCCTATATATATATATAGAAAATAATTTTTTCATACTAGTTTAAGTCTAAAAGCTCTTACATTTTTTTATTTAACTTACATCTAATGGTTAATAAAATAATAAATTATTATCTGTTAGATATAAGTTAAATGAAAGATTTAAATCGAGTGTAAATTATATATATATATATATTTGTGCTATAAGCGCGGAATCACGTTACTTTTCTTTTGGAGTTTTCCACTTTCAAGTTTCAATTGACGAATAATTTGAAAAAAATTCTCACCAAATATATATTAAAAAGGAAAATAAAGAGATAGAATAAATTAAATTATGCATTTTAATATTTTAAGAAACTTTATTCTAATTTTTCAAAACATAAAATGCATAACTTAATTTTAATTTAGAGATTGATTTATTCTCTTATAAGTATTTGGAAGAAGTTTGTCCAATAGGCAAACGAAGAAGTAGAATAACAGACATGTATGAAAGTAATTGAAAACAGGTTTATCTAAGTTATCCTACGAAATAATCAGTGAACTAATGAAATCTATTATATTAAAAAATATTGTATCAACTTTTTATAGACAAAATCTCAATATGTATTTATCAAGTAATGTGACTTTGACTAACCGATTGAACACGTGCCCCAATTTGCTTTAAACTTTCTAGTTTGGTTCGAGCTGGTAAGTTATGCGGCTCGTACTTCCCCCTATTTATTGGTGGCCGGTATGAACCCAACGGAAGGATTTACACTGAAGCCAAACTAAAATGAGTTGGTAGGCATGATTTTGCAGATTAAGTAACTATAAATTCATGTTGAAAATGCAAAGCTACAATCAAAGGTTAAAAGAAATGTTAACACATGTTCTTTTCACAAAGAAAATGGTGTTGAATTGTGTTCAAAGACAAGATTATTATAGTAATCAAAATTGTATTTTAAATATTTAACACAATTACACTTTCTACTGCAGGTTAAAATAAGAATAAATCTTTTATCAATTAATTTATGATATAGGTGATCATTATACTTATAGGATGAATAATTAGTTTTGAACTTAATTATGAATTATTGTTTGGATTTATAAAGCATAAAAGAATGAATTATTGTTTTTTGAAAAATTGTGGTGAGATGTCTCTATAATTATTTAAGTCTCCTGTGGGTTGCATGCATTCGTCCGTATCGAGTTTTAATAGCTGTTAGGGAAGGAAGGACGCAATAATTGAAAGAAGAAGTAATTAAAATTTTGTTTTCTAAATCACGTAAATCTTTATAAGAGGGAATCTAGTTCAAGTAAGCTAAATAGTATAAGCGACGAATTTCAAGTACAATGTTTAAATCTTTGGAAATTAAATGTATAGCAGCTATAAATTCTCTGGTTCTTCTTGTATCTCATAAAAGAGAAAGAAATAATGAATCCTCAAAAATAGTGATAGGTCTTGATACAGTAGCTTTTTTATTTTGATGAACAATAACTACATACTTCATTTATTTTAAAGTAATTATAAAAAAAATATTTGACAACCACGTTGTAATAGTTTCAAATAAAATTAAAATTTTCAAATAATTATGCAATATAGAGAACAAACTTAATCTCACAAGAACATAAATTCATTCTGCTCCAGTTTTAAATATGCAATAATGGTTAAATTGAGGGTTTTATAATTTTTATGAAATTAAACAAAAACATAAGTAAGCAATAGAAATTGAATTACAAAAACTATGCAGTAAAACAACTTGAATTAAAGCAACAAATTGAAAGAAAACGAAATCTAGTTAAAACCCAAAATACTAAAATGAATTAAACTCAGAAAAAACTAAACTAAATGCAAGGAAGAACAAATGCAAATTAAAAGAATGAAGGTAAATTAAAGCGAACAAAATTAAAGGAGAAACAAACGCAAACGAAGCACGAATTAGGATTGAAATCGAAACCACAAATATGAACTAGGGTTGCTATACCGAATTTGCCTAAATCTTGAATGTAAAATAAATCAATCAATCTTACACTTAAGAATAAAAATCAAATTCAATCAAATTATGCATGCACAAATCTTAATCAAGAATTGTAAGAAAGCGAAGAGACACTCAGAACGATCAATTGATCTTACAATCCACACTTGAGATGAGATGATTCAGAAATTCAACCACCTAGTTGCTAATCGGAATACGAGTAAAAATCAAATTGAAAATCATAGCAGAATCACAAATTGAATTGTGTGCAGAATATGAAAAGAGATAAGTAAACGACAACAAAAAAAGTTTCTTTTTCAAAAGCTAAAAAAGTCTTACAAAACATGAAATTATGAAAAAGAGGAGAAGAAACCTAAAGTCAACCTTTTGACCCCTATATATACTGGTCTTAAATGAGACGGAAATAATATGGGTCAAGGCTGCCGCAAGTAATTACAATAAAAACTTCAAATAAAAATATTAAATATAAAAGCTATATTTTCAGTTTGAACTTCAAAAATTAATAAAAAATAGCTCCAAACTCTAAACAACATGATCCATATGTCCAAATTGAAGCCCAGGAAGTCAGGAATTCATTGCAAAAAGAATCAACCAAAAAGAAAATCTACAAAAAAAGTTATGGCCAAAATAGTGAACAAAAATTAAAATAGAGAAAAATATAAAATATAAAGTAAAGATAACAAATATTTATAAAAAATTTAATTTAATGTAAGAAATGCGAAAATATGCTAAATGAAAAAAAATAAAGAAAGAAAATGTATTTTGAAAGATGCAATAAAACTATAAATGTAAGTACAAAAATTTAGTCATTAATGTTGCATAAAAAATCTGAAATATTTTGATTTTTAAAGAAATCTAAGCTAATTTTTTTGTATTTTCCCTTCTTCATAATATCTCATCAACTAATTCAGTAAAACTTTTCAAAAGGGTAAGGATAATTTAAAAAAAAAATTAACTCTATTATTTTTTAGTGATAAATAGTTTTAAAATTTCTAAAACATCTAAAGTGACAATTATTTTAAAATAAAAATTACCTTTTTTAAGATATCACTTATTGTTGAGTGAAATTACAGGTTCATGTAATTGAATAATTTCTACTTAATGTAATTAATAAGCTTATAATAAATTTTCATCAAATAATACATAAAATATTAATTAGTTATCACTAGCTGTTATGTTTAAAAAAAAATTGAAGTAAAATCATAATTCCATATAATAATTATATGAAATTATAACATAACTAACTTAAACACCTTTTCAATTTATAGTCAATATCTTAAAAAATTTAATTAATATGGGTTTAGTCAAAAATTGTTTTCATTTAATTTAAAATTAAATGGTTATAACAAGAAATTTAAGACAGTTTAAATAAAATTAAGAAGAGAGATTCAATTTAATATATGGAGGTAGATATTTTTTTTATTATAATGGATAATTATTTTGCTTTTTTCTTAAATTTTTACTACTAAAGTTATCAAAGTAAATATTTTAATATTTTTAAGTATATTTTTTATTATTAATTATATTTTTTAATAATTATAAAAACTATAAAAGTATTACTTTTAATTTAATAATTATACTCATTTTTTTGTAATTTGTATTAAATTTCAGTGAGTTTGTTAAAAAATATCTTTTTCACCACTTCTTTTACAAAAATTTCATTTTAATCCATAACTTACAAAACAACATTCATTTAATGAATTTTTATATAAAATGAAAAAATATAAAATGAATTATTTTTAGAATATTAAAGATTAAAATAAAAATTTTACAAATTCATAATTTTTTCAAAAGACTAAAAGGGTATTATTTTAAATTCACATAACTTTTTCAAAAGAAATAACAATAAGATAAATTACAAATATGATTCTTTAAATGCTTTTAATATTATTTATTATTTAAAATTAAGAAGTCTTTGGTCTATAATTTTTTTAGTTCATGAGAATTGCTTCATGTGTTTTCTAAGAATTCTTCTTCTTACGAATGTTAAAAGATATTTATTATATATGAAATAGTCTTGAAAATGTTATATAATATTTTCTGCCAATATTTTTATCTTGTGTTTAGTTTATTCTTTTAAAAGTATGCTTATTAAAAATTTTAAAAATTAAATTAAAAAACTAAAACAAAACTTTTTTTGTTATAAAATATTTAAAAATAATAGTGTCTCATGAATAAAAGGACTTACATTTACGTTACCTTAAAAATAATAAAAAATTGAATTTATAAAAACATTTATGACAAAAAAAAGTGTGAAGATATATTTGTATAGAAAGATAAAAGTATATAAAAAAAATTAACTTCATCAATTATATGTTTATAATCTTAAAAAGTAATAACACTGTATATGATCCTTCTACTTCATAAAATTATATTAAAAAATAATTTATTTAATTATAAAATCTTCAAATAATACTTGATTATTGTAACAAAATAATACTAGAAGCTTCAGATATATAAAAAAAAAGAGATATCATAAATCAAGTATATCTAAAAATACTAACAGATATAATCATATTTTTGTAATAATTTTTCAAAAAACTTTTAGAGGAAAAATTTCTCTCGTGACAGTGTAACCGGATTTTGGCATGGAAATTGGTCACAAAGGAGGTTGGGCGATTCCTCTCTACCCTGTTCATGTTCCGAAGAGATTTGGTGTGTCAGTTTCGTTAAGTCCAACGTTGTCTGAAAAGCGCATCTTCATTTTGGGTATGGGATTCGTGGGTCAATCACTTGCACGCAAACTCCACAACCAGGGATGGTTAGATCACACAACATTCTTCAATATTTAACTTTCTCACTTCAAAGTTCATACCTTTCTTACCGTTGAATTAACAATTATGGGCAGGGTCGTGTCTGGGACATGCACAACCCATGTAAAGAAGCAGCAGCTTCAGGACATGGGCTTTCATGTTCACCTCTTTGATGCAAACCACCCTGAGTGAGTCAATTGCTAGTTTTGTATTTAAATTTTCTTTATTTAAAATACAAAACACAAATTATTATGTGGGTTTTGATTTGATTTGATGCTTTGCAGTCTGAGTATCCTACAACTACTGAAAAATAACACTCATTTTCTTGTTTGTGTCCCTCCTGTTGTAGGCATTGGTGACCCGGTATGAATGATTTTACTGTAACAATTGTTATGTCATCATTGATCATAGCATACTGCATAATTTTTTTGCAGTCTCTGGTAGCTTCCCTTTTCTACTTAGATTTTATTGATTTGTAGATGCTTCAGCATGAGGAACTTATAAGAAGCTCGTTAGTCAATGGGGATCTTCAGTGGCTTTGTTACTTGTCTTCGGCTAGTAAGTCTTCGTTCAAATTACTAATGAGTTTAATTGTAATAAAAAAACGTTACTGTTTTATGCTGTCTCTTTTTCTTGTTTGATAAATGTAAAAGCTTTTCTTGCTGGCATTAAATTGCAGTGCCACAGTGCTTGTTGATGTTTCAAAGTCCTTCATTCTTAAGAGACATTTGGAAGATCTTATGCGATAAGAACAGCTTATAATTCCTTTAAACTCTTTTTAGAACTTATTTTGATTAGTTTCTTAATATATCTTATCAAAACAAACTCTTTTTAACTTATTCTAATTAGTTTTATGGTTAAATGTATGACATGAGCCCTCATGTAATAAAAGCTTTTTAAATAAGCGCTTAATTAAGTAGTGTTTCCAAATGTACTATTATAAGTTATTGCAGTTATAAACTCGAAAGCATTTTTAGCTGCATGCTTTAAATGAGAAGGGGGATACTTTTAAGATAGTTTTGCTGATCAAGAACTTGTTATTATTATATAAACTTTTTCTGTTAAGTTGATCTTACAGGAAATTCATAATTTGCTGAACTGGACCAATTTAATCTGTCAACAGCAGTCATAAGCTTAACTATTTGTTTGAAAAACAAAATTAGTTTGATCGTTGTTGAATGGATTGACCTAAGGTTTGTTAGATTTCTTTAAAGCTAGCGATGAAGATTTCATGTCAATTAAAAGCATGTAAAACATTGTAAACATAAAAGAAGCTAGCAGAATTTAGCATATGCATAAAGATAAGATAGAATTGAATTCAGACATTTAGTTGCCATACTTCTTAGATGATTTACTTAAGGGATTCTAGAACTCAAATTTTCCTGCTACAAGTCATGTGGTCTGGTTATTAGCCGATTCTCTGGTTGTTAGCTGCGTAGAGACATTTTTGTAATGCTTTCAAATTCAAATATGATGACAGACGCACTTTCTGTCTAGCAGGTGTCTATGGAGACTGTGACGGTGAATTGGTGGATGAGGAGTAAGAGTGTAACTAAATAAATCACTTGCCTTCTGAAATTTCTGAAACTAGTCTATTAGTTGGCTCTTAGTATGTTCATCATGCTGTGACAGTTATCCAACCAACCCAGAAAGTGAGTCAGCAAAATTAAGGTTAACTTCTGAAGAAGGCTGGTCAAATTTGGCTCGTTATCTAGGGATCTCACCACTTTCATTTCGATTGGGAGGTATCTATGGCCCTGGGAGAAGGTACCTACCTTTTGTTATTGTAATTTGTCTTTCAAGTAATGTTTCTACTATCAGTTTCTTTGTGGGATCTACCATTCACTAAATGCCACCTTGAGACTCTTATTTGGAATTTAAATTATAAATTTGGGTTTTCTTTACATGTAACTTACCAGTCAATTTAGTATATATATAATTTGGCTTCAACATTTCTTTTGTTTTAGTGCCATTGATACAATAATCAAGCAGAAGCCCTTGTCAGATGGTCAGAAGAGGAGAAAATACCAAAAATATACATCTAGAGTACATGTTGAGGACATTTGTCAGGCACTTATGGCTACTCTAAATGCACCTTCCCCCTCGTGAGTTTCTGCTGTAACTAACTTTCTGGTGCATACATCACCCTTCATTCTGAAATGTTCCTAAACTAACTAGGCAAAAATTTCCAAGAGTAAAGCAACCTGGAAGGATTATCAAACAACATATTCCACTGTTCTAGTCCTCCACAGTAGTGGAAGGTTAACTGTTACCAATACGCAATACCATTAAATGCTTATGTGGCTTAAGAAACACAGATCCCGAATTTTAGATTTATTTCAATGCCTTCATCATGTGTATTTACTTTTCTTGTTGCAATTTAAAAACAAAATTGTATGTTATAAAACATATGAAGGGTTTGCATGCTCAGAAGACATGTAGAATATTTTGCCAAATGAAGCAACACCTACTCTAAATTCTCAGGCTGGAGGCATTGACTGAGGCTGTTTTCCAGCAAACATAGATCTTAAATTGTAGATTTATTAGAATTTCTTTGTCATGAGCATGCAAACCACATCAACTACCGTTTAAAGTACACTGATAGTATCACAAATGCACAGGACAGACTGGAATTTATAGACAGTATTGTCTTCCTTCATAGTGGTTGTGTATGCTAGTTTATTTCTTATGAATTATAATCCTTTTCATCTTTTGTTGATGCATACTATCATCCTTAATAAGAACAAAGTGGACGAGCAATTCTTACAGGAGCATAGTGCCTATGAGAATATCCAGTGAAAAACCCAAGATGTATTAAAATAATAATGAAGTATGAGTTGAAGCTATTTTAATATTATCTTGAGTTTTTATTTGGTTGTGTTTATAGACACTATGCTCACCCAAAGAATTGCTTAGTGAACAAATAAATGTGTTTGGTTCATTGATTGTACTCTTGGGCATGTCATTTTCATTTCAGGGAAGTTTACAACATCGTCGATGATGACCCTGCTCCACGAGAAGAAGTATTTGAATATGCAAGAAAATTGGTGGAGAAAAAATGGCCAGGTTTGAACTTACAAAATGTGGAGCAAAAGGAGTGCTCAGTTGTAAAAACAAGAAATGCAAAGGGTGAGAAGCGAGTGTCAAATGCCCGAATGAAGAAGGAACTTGGGGTGCAACTACTTTACCCTCATTACAGGTTAGGATTGCAGAGTATAATTGACCATATTCAGAATCCTTTATTTTGTGATTGACCATATTTTGATCAATGCCATGTCTGGTCAACTTATTATTCATGTCACATATTGGTAGCGTTAAATCCTGGGCGCACGCCATTGTAATACTTCCTCAAATTGTAGAACTTGAAGTCAACTCTCCAAATATTGGAGGATAAGTATTCCTTTCATTTAGAGTTTGGTAGAATTGAGACGAATATTAAATTAATTTGAATCATATATTTATATTAAAACGTATATGAAAGTATGAGATTTTATTTTTGAACTTTAAAACAAATGAGGAATTAAATAGTTCTAATAACTAATAAGAAAGCAATTCTGAGGTAGTTCTTCCTTACACTCTTCTCCATCTTTCTTCTGTACAATTTACCGACTCCTATCATTGTCTTGTTAACAATATGAAATTAACAGTGTCTTAACAATATGAACCCCGCAAGTGTCTAATGTTATTTAATTATTAATATTTATATGCGTACATTGTGCATTTGGATAAAATGTTATCAGGTGAACAAAGCTAATTATATTCTATGAAATTTTTTTAAAAATTCCCAAGTTGAATTATTCATGAAACATTTAATATTATTTAGCAAAAGAGAGGTATTGTTGAATACCTCATTGAGTTCAATATTTTCTTTTCTTCCTTCTTTCACCGGCATTTGAACCCAGAACATTGGGTAACTGTATTCGAACAATCACCACAAAGACCACAAATGCCGGTGTACTTTCGATGCACTCTTAATCGTAAAATAGTACAGACCCAAGCTGACCTTTTTTTTGGTCAATAAGCTGACTTTGTTAACGCTACATTGTGCGGCCAATTTGGACCTCCCATTACTAAAAAGGATAACAGTGTAAAAAAAATTATTCTAGAAAAGGTTTTTATAAAAATTAGTTTTTAAAAGAATTGCTTTTTTTCCATTTTATTACACATCAACTAAAAAGTTTTACACAGTTCAAACAAATTATTTTATGATTAATTTTATATTAACATGTTAAAACATTAAATTTATTATATTTAATTAATTATAATATAATTAATCATCTAAATATTTCTTCTCAATTTAAACAAAAACTACCACTTTAACATTTCAAAACATTTTGTGCTAAATATTTATATCACTTTCAATGTAATAAATTTATTTTTTAATAATAAAAACTTGTCAGATGCTTAAAATAAACTCTCTTAACAGTTTACGTCTAAAGCGACTCCTTTAAGACATTTATATATTGATGGTTCATAAGCAAGATTCAATAATTAGTATTTTTTTTTCTATCTAATTTCTTCACTTCGCTTTCTCACCATACCAATAACAACCACAAAAGAAGGAAAGAGAAAAGGTAATGGAGTCACAAGCATTCAGCTGTCAACAACCAAACGAAGGAAAAAGGAGTCGCCAGCTTTCATACTTAACTTCAAAGCATCAGATTGGAGGTAACATTTATCAATTACAACATTCGGTGATCCTGCCTGACAAATGATAATCTTTAGATTCGCCTTGTTCTCTCTCTCAAGGGCATAACTCCTTCCACTTGACTGAACTAACAAAATTATGTCATTTTTATATTCATTGAAAATATAAATACAAGGGGGTAACACATTCTAAGTTTCCGACGTTGGGACTTTTATGTCTGAGTTTAGAAACCTGTCGCTGGTAGCACGTAGCAGTCTGCCACTGTTAGCATAAATATGTGAAGCATCTTCACATGTATGGATACGTTTTTTCTGCCTCCTTGTGCTCGTCATTGCTTTGGCTAAGCACCATTTGCCACGGGAAGTTATATTCATACAATCCATACGGAACCACATCAACCTGACTGGAGTTTCTGGTCAATAAGTGAAAAATAATTAATTTAAAACATTGAAAATTATCAGTAGACTACACAGAAAATATTACATTCTAAATTGATGGTTACTACTAACTACTACTATAATAATTAGAGCGTGGCTGACTCTTACAGCAAAAGGAACTCAATCTTTACGATATCTTGCCCAAAAGCCTTTCTTCCTGGCAGAATCATTCACAGATAGCGATCGGCTCCACTTGGACCCAAGTGAAAAGTGTCGCCTCAAGAAGGGCTTTCCAAATGAGCTCCTCGCACTGGAGCTAGGCTCCATTTTTGAAAAATTTCCTCTCAATTCAGTATCTTTTTGGCGATCAAAAACATCAAAATCACCATCAAGGTAGCTATCAACTACACGGTTTCTGGATATCTTGTGGTTCTTGGCCTTTATCTCTGATTCAGAACGATGACCTTTTCTGGACAACTTTGTCAAGTGCTTATCTCCAATCATACAAATTGGACAAGTTGGATCATACCTATCTGCCTCTGGTGTCATAGCCTCTAAGCACTCTGCATGATATGCATGACCACAGACCAATACAGCAACAACTGAGAGGTCGCCATTGGCAATAAACTTCTGGTTGCTCCATGTTGATCTCTCAGTCAAAAGCTTTGAGCAAGCCCCACAAGATTGTAGATCCATGGAGGGAGAATACGAGAACCTGCTACTGGATCCACTTATCTTGTGACGACCAGAGCCTAAACACTCACTATCAAAAGACCACCTTTCCCTTTGGGATGAGGCCACCAGCTCAGAAAAGGTACGCATTGACCAGCCATCAGATGATCCGCATTGGGATCCAGCTGCCATTTCATTGCTGCAAGTAGAGAGTACAAATGATGGCCTTCCTTCAGAAATTGAGTTGTCTGGTGATTTCAGACCCATAATCCTACTATCAGAAATCTGTCTCAACAGTGGGTGTCCTGGAGATCGATGTGCCCATCTTGTTGGGGTAGAGTTGGGAAGTTGATGATAATTATGATTAGGCAAACGATCTGCTGTAGGTGTTGAGAAAACTGAAGGTATTGAAAATGAAAGATTTGGAATTGAAGATTCTGCTGGATTTTTTACCTAAAGAGAAAAGATAGATTATGTGTGAGCCCAGTACTACAGTAGAAAACCTAAAAATCAGATTATGCACCACAAAGCTCATAGTTCCAATTCAGTTGCTCAAACTAACCACTGTAGAAAAATTGCTTGACATGGACAGATCTGCAACAAGCACGTAGAGGAAGAAGAAAGAAAAATCAATGCCAAACAAAGAAATAGCAACCGAGTGCAAAAATGAGAGCATCAAGAACTGAATGTTAATAGCAACATCTGGGACAATTCAACAAAATAAACCAACTTTGAAAACCTTATACTGGAAGGGAAAATAGTAAAATAAAAGGCAATGAACAAGGCAATATATAAAGACCCTATGCGTGCAAGAATGGAACAATAATCTAAAGAAATATACCCACCAATCATGTCAGAAACTGTTGTCTTGTTATTTACTTAAATATTGAATATCATCATCGTTGAGCCTATTTGTTGTATTCATCTTGTGGCTTAAAAGTAAATGTTGCTGGACTTTCATTTTGGATAATCATACTCAAAGGGCTTCAATGACAAGGTTGACTAAGGGTAACAGAGGAGTATTTCACATGGGATAATAATTACTCCACAATCACACAAAAGGTTCACACAAAAAAGAGACAGGATTTCCACAATTGTAATAGCATCCCCTTATATGAATCCAAAATTAAGAATCTAACCTCTCCAAAAGAAGGGGGTTGACGAGGTCTAAATGTATTAACTAAGACCCATCAAACATTGTGCATATGGAAAAGGACAAAAGAATAACAGAGTTTCAGGTTTAGCATTTACCAGAAGAAGGGGTCATCAGATTTGCAACCAATGTCTCATCAACTGGGGACTTGAGAGAAATGGGAGTTACAGAATTCTCCAGGATGCTTCCCCCATCTGATAAATTACCTCTTTCAGAACTTAATGAACCTTTAAACTCCATGCTTACATTTCTACTGACCACCTGAGATGTGTGACAGGAAGGATTCTCAATTTCACCAGCAACGCGCCCCCGACTATCCCATCGAAAACTCCATGATGGTGAGCATACAACATCTCTATGCAAATTTTGACCTCCAGTTCTGTTAGGGATATTAGAATCCTTTACAGCAACACAACAAGCCGATCCCATGATAACTGTGTACAAACATAATGGTCAATCTAAATTACTGGCACAACACAAAGACTAATTGCTCGGTACTGCATAGACAAATTCAACACTTGCATATAAACTTTAAAAAAAATCCAACAATATACCAGAAAATTGTAACAGAAAACTCAAGCCACCTCAATTTCCAGCGAGGGACAGTAATCCTATTCCTACTTCCTCCTGACAAATAAACAAAAAGGAAAGATGATTAAACCGAGATTTCAAGGCAACAAGTATTCAAAACCTTCCAGAGGCCCAAGCTCTAGACAAAGAAGCACTCTCCAAACTTCAGATTCTGATGCTCTAACAAATCAAATTCAGCGAGCATTCCATCAAAAAGAATTTCTATTAATCGCATACACCTATAATAAATCAAATGCATAAAACCCTTCGAACAACCACCACTGTGATTCACCCGTGAACACAAGTAAAGTATAGCACAAGTAGTCAATCATGTAGAGAACTAGTTCAAGTAAATGATTTCCATATATAGAACACGATACAGCAATTATGAGCCGCACACACAAGCACCGTGATTATTCACAAATCAAGAGCCAACACTGAGAAATAAAAACAGCTAATTTGGTTCCTCCCATTTGAATGACTTCCAAAATCTAAAAATCGCAAAAATAATTAAAAAAAAAAATTACCTCTCACGAACCTCAAAAGCATTTCTAGGGTTTCGAAACATTCTAAAGTCTAGTCGTTGATATAAATATATTATTAATTATCATTAAGCAAACAGCGAAATAGAAGATTAAAGAAGAAACATGCGCGAATCTTACTCCAAAACTAGAAGTTGAGAGAAAAGAGGGAAAATAATTCGGCACTGGTCATCGTCTTGCTGTTTAACACACAAACAGAAAGGGACGGCGCTTTATATAGCAAAACGTCGCGTCTGTTTTACTGTTAAAGCGTCGCGTCGCAGAAACACAAACCGTTATGACGGAGTTAGGGCAGAGAGAGACCTTTGGAAACGGGAATGGTGCCCCTATTTCTATTTCTATTATTTCTATTTCTATCACTGTGACTGCATCTTCTCTTCTCTTTTTTCTTCTGCTTCACTTTTTCCTCTTTCCCCTCTCTGCGTTATTTGCTTTTAAATAATATTATATTTTTTAAAAATGAAAAATGGAGGTTGAATATAGTAATAAGCAGTGGATGAGAATTTCATGCTTTATTTTCCACCACGTGGACCGCACTATAAGGTCACATGGATACAATTTCATTATGATAATAATAATAATAATAATAATAATATTCTCATAAAATTCAGCAACTCTGACCGTGGAGAAACCATTGACTATCCATGATTCCAACAACGGTGGTCAATTTGTGCTATGCTCTCTCCCTACGACTATGACCTTTAATACCATTGCAAACCTACTTCAACTTGATTTTTGTGTGCATCTGTTCAGAAACAAAATGCTTTTAATATGGACCACAACGCTCACCAATGAATGTGACTTTCACATTGTGTTCAATTTAATTTCCTTGCCTCATTTGGGTTACTCCACCTTTTTAATTTTACAAGTCAAATTGCAATTTGCACTTACTATAATGCCTTGGCTTTGATTTTACGATACTTTACGATTAACTGATCATTTATAAATGTTTATCTTAAAGTCGGTTTTGTTACATGCCAGCTTAGAGCACAACAAACACCATTTTCGTTAAACTTGTTAAAAATCCATTTTACTACAAAAATTAATGTATATTTAGAGATTCATAATATGAATTTATATAAAAAAAATTATTAAATTTGATGCATTTTAGACATTTGTTAAAACAATAATATGGTTTATTAAACTACTACGACTTCTTTCGGTACATTATTAATATTATAAATTGCTCTGGCGTTGTGAAACGGATATTCTTCTTTTTGATGCTGGGTTCAACGAATAAAAATGTCAACACCAAAAGTTTTGAACTTCTCTATAATTTCTTCGTGTCTTTAATATTTTTTCATCAAACATTATTATCATTATTACAAAACGTTGAAATAGGGAAAAGCTAAAAATGCAGATGTTTTTCACTTTTCATTTCCAACGAGTTTCAGATACTCTTTAATTTGTTGTTTTATAGTTAACAACTTTTTTCCTTTTGAAAATTTTCAGTTATAATGTACCTCTGCTTATTGCTTTTTCATTATCCTAACTGAAAATGAAATCCGAATTGAGGAACATATAGTATCAAACTGTACACCAAAACCTAGTATGAAATAAAGCTTTTATAGTAAAAGACAGTGTTAGTTCAATATTAAGTTGCTGTTTGTTAGTGTTTTATTTAAACATTTTTAATTAGAATTAAGAAAAAATTAATCGTTACATTGTATAACTTCAAAAAATATTTTCTTAAAAAATATATTAAAAATAACTTTTTTCGTATTTTGAACATCTGCATCAGAATTACAAGAAACAGTAATTATAAAGAACGAGGAATGAATGATAATCCCAAAGATACAGAGCCCAAACTAACCCAAGTTTGTCTTAGTATGATACTAAAAGGCCGATTGCAATTGGGCCCGTCGGCTGCAACAAATTAAATTCCACAAAATTCTTTAAAACACATGTTAAACTTGTTTTTTGGACAAAAAAAAAAAAAAAAACATGTTAAACCTGTTTAAAATGATTGTGTTAAATAATTAGGATAAAGAAACTGCAGTTCTTTCACCATAAATTAATATGATTATACCTTTTCGAGGATTCATGTTTTCCATTGTTTCACCAAAATGCCATTTGGTATTTTAGTTGGAGTAACGGGTCAAACATAGATTGCAACTACAAAATGTAAATTTCAATTAAAGAATTCCGTCCTATAAATATAAACTCATTTGTTTATCTTTAGCCGGAGGAAACGTGTTTGAACTTCACCATGTACAATTTTTATTTATTTTTTATTTAGCGACAGGTACAAATTGTGAGAAAAAATTTAATCTTGACCTTTGCATTTATAAACATCTAATGGTCTCTAACCTTAAAAAAAACCATTTTATTTATAAAAATATTTTGTTGCTATTTAGATGAAGGGATGAGAGTGAAAGAGATGTAGGAGTTTTTCTTTTCTTGGAGTGAATGGTTTGACTTTAGTGATAAAGATGGTGATAATTAAAGAGTTTGCTTATTTTATTTAGTTTTTATTTTTATTTATGTATCTTAAGTGAGTAATGTTGTATCAGCTTTTAAAGATTGTAATTTTCCTTATTCACTCTTGTGTAAATGTCATGCCTGAATAATCTTGTTATCTTTAACTAAAAAATTAAAAAGATCAAGAAAAAACGAGAGAGAATAGTATAATACAAATACAGGAAGTGTGGATAACTTTATTACTATATTTATGTTTCTATAGATACTTTTATTTATATATAATAATTTTATTTAAAGTACCCTTCTTTTGTGTTTATCAAACTAATATATTAAAAATATGTAAAATTTAATTAAATATGAGTAATAATAGATATATTCAAGTAACAATGAAATTACAAGGAAATAAATACTTTTTTTTTTCAGTCTGGGAGAAGCTTTTTTTATTTTAATCTTGCATTTAGCTTTGTTTTTCATCGCTGCTATTTTCATACATGCCAGATTATCATGATATGCATACCTTTTAATTTTATTTCTTTTTTAAAACACAATTTTACAATTTATATTTATATGAACAACGAAAAAAACACCTTTTTGGTAAGAACCAGAACCATCCTTACATTTATAAAAGCACACCCATAACATTCATACATACACTAATAATATAAAAAAGAAAAAAGCAGCAAATGCACTTACACCGACGTCCATTTTTCGAAAACATTGGACAGTGGGACCTAACAGCAGAACGATGCCATGCCACTATATAATATTTCATTTAAGCATTTATTGCAATTTGCAAGTTCTGCCAATCTAATAATATCCTAACAAACATTGCCTCACCCAAGGTACAACAACTCCACTAATGTATTATTTTCCCTTACTCAACACTCAATGATTCTAACATGACGCAATTCCCAACAGAACACTAGTACAATACAAGCTAGCATATGTACTTTTGCCCCTTTTAAGATTCACCACTGAAACATATCTGCAGAGGCCACAATTGGTTGGTTAAGATAGGCCATGTTGATGGGGTTCATGAAATTATTATTATTATTGTTGTTGTTATAATAATTATCAGCATAGCAATCGTTTTGGTAGACCCCTGTAGTTGTTGTGTTGATGAGGTCGATGATATCATTCAGTGATTGAAGACTTTGGCTAAGTTCACCGACCTGGGCCCTCAGAATGCAATTCTCAGCCTCGACCTTAAGATAGTGCTGTGTGGTGACGTTCACCCTTGTGAGTATCTCACTGTTTTGCTTACAAAGCATTTCCACTTCAGCAATGAGATCATCCATGTGCTTCTGCTTTCTCGCCCGAGATCTTCTTGCTGATTCACGATTCGATTGCTTTCTCTTATTCTTTCTTTGATCCATCAGAAGCTGAAAGTGCAAATCCTCCTCAGACCCAGAACTTTGAAATTTCGTGCACATGCTGGAGTTTCCACTGGATGAGGCCATTAAATATTTACACCAAAGACACTCACCTTATATGCTCGAAATTATTTATGTAACTTTGAAATTATAAAAATTAAGACGCAAGACCCCCAGGAAGACTAATATAGATAATTATTAATATTATTATTAGTACTAGTTAATCATATAATAAAAAAGTGAAATGAAGGTAGGAGAATTATGAGAAGACATAGAACCAGTAAAGGAAAACAACAGAGAAAGATTGAACTAAGTGGGTCCTGCGCCTGAGGGAGGAATTGATCATAAACCCGGAACGAAGGATTTCACTGAGGACTGGAGACATGAATGTCAAACATGAACTTGTATATTTAGATATATGTTCGGCATCAAGATTTAAAGGAACAAGTTTTTCTGTTGAAAATTATCATAATAATCATTCAAGAAAGAAAGAAAGAAAAATGATGCATGAATAAGAAATGTTTAATTAGAAGGAGAGAGAAGAGGAAAGGTGATGGGGGGGAGAGGAAGAGAGGAGAAGAGGAAGTAATAATGGGAATTGAAAGAAGATTTATAGGCAGAGAAATGGGGATTGGGGGACAGTGAAAATAAATTAAGAATGGAAAATGGGGTGGGAAAAGCAAATGGCATCGGAATATCCTGTAAAGGTTTTTTGGTGGGGACTGGGAGAGAGCCAGTGGCATCCTTGTTTGCTGCTAAATTATTTATTCCCACTTTTTCCTTTTCTAATTTTAATAAAGTAAGCAGAGGGATGACATGTATATATAAGAGTGAGAGAGAGAGAGAGAGAAAAATAAACGTTAAGGTTGAATAAAAAAATTAAGGATATGTCAATACAAAATAAACTATTTATCATTGACGGATCCACCTGAAAATATAAAATGTATATGTTCAAAATTTAAACAATAAGAAGATTTAACTGATGATGTAATTAAAAAATAAAATAGAAAAAACAATATAAAACAATTATAAAAAATATATATTGAAATATTTATATCATTTTAAATTATTTTTTTTTAAATGTTAAAATATTATTATGTGAGTTTATTTTCAGAACAAGTTAAAGCTAATTTTCCATTAATATTTACCATAAGAATTTGTTTGATCCCACAAAACCCACCAATTCCAGCTGGAGGTGGTGTATTTAGGGTTAGGGGTACTTGAAACTCAAGTTTAAATTATATAAAAAAAAATAAGTTTAACTTATTTATTTAAATTAGTTAAAATTAAAATTTAATTTTGTCTTGATTGAAATATATATATATATATATTTATAATTTGAATATTTTTTTCTTAATTTAATATTTAATAAGTATTTCATGTTAAAAAATAAAATAATAAAAAATTTAATTTTGTCTACACAAAAATGAAGATTCAAAATAAAAATTTTAATTATAAATTAGTATATTTATTTAAAAATATGTTTAATTACTTGTTTAAAATACAACTCTTAAAAATTAAAATTAGATAAATAATATATACACACATAAATTATTCATATGTTATCCATATCAAGTTTGCAAAACTAAAATTTGACTAATTTAAATAATCAAACATAATTTTAAATTCAAACTTATTTATTTAATTAAATAAATAAATTTAGGCAAAAATTTACTAAGTCAAATTCAAATAATTTACAAGTAACTCAATTTATTTACACTCTTACTCAAATTATCATGTGTGGAATAATATTAACAATACCTGTACCTTTTTTATTAGGTGAGTTTGTTAAATACTTATTAAAATATTTTTAGATATTTAACAATAAGTAAACTTAAATAAAAAGAGATGAAACGGAATTAAAAAGTATTGAATTGCTTATATATTCAAATGTAAGAATCGAGTTATGTATTTAACTTATAATTTTATTTCATTTTAAAATTTTCAAATAATTTTGAAATTTTAGAATATAAAATTTTGGGTAAAGTTTTAATTACTAAAAATTGAAGAGAAAGTAAAAATATTTTTAAGATGTCCTCGTCTACATACAATTATTCTTAAGAACAAATTAACGTGTAACACTTTCTAAATGTAAAAGTAGAGGATTATTATAAATGTATAAATAAAAATGCATAATTTAACCATAAATTAGGAATATAAACATGGTTGGTGATGCATCTCTTTTTTAGGCATTAAAATTTATCATAATAAATCTTCTAGTATTTTGTCTCAATCAAGATATATTGATAGAATTCTAAACTGATTCAATATACAATTTTTTAAATCTTTTGTTGCACCCAAAGGGTGAAAAAAAATTTAATGCTCAATGTAGTGAAATGATAGACATGGAAATTTATTATTATTATTTTGTTGTTTGCAACCTTATACATGCTTAAGTTTGTACACATGATATTGCTTTTGTTGTCTATGTATTTGGGAGATAAAAGAGTTTAAAACTCATGTCGAGCATATCCCTAAACCTATAGTTGTTGATCCCTTAACAAAAGGCATAACTTTTAAAGTTTTTGTTGATTAATAACCCTGTGGATGTAATAAAGTCTGTTTGATGTTTTAGATTGGTGGGAGTTTATTCTTATAATTTGCAGTGACTTCATATTTGTAATATTTTAAGATATTAATAATATTTGAGACATTATTGAAATAATAGTTATTGTTGACGCTGTTAATGTCATATATATTTGTTTTATCTAGTTTAATTGTTATAATTATTATTGTATATGCATATATTATGATGGCATATTGTGGAGATATTTTGGATCCAGTCTTAATCTTCTTGTTTTAATAAGATTTATTCAATCTTAGAAAACATCTCAGGCAGAAGCTTGAACCATTTGTTAGGAAAATTGCAATTTGTTCATCCTTTAGCATGTTGTTTTGTTGTGTTTTTCCATTTGTTCATCTTATAATGTATGATATCATTGCTTTATCGAATATGATTTTTTGCATTGTTAAGATGTTTATAGTTTGTGTTGGCTTATTTTGACATTTTGTAGTGGACACATTAATATGGAATACATTGGTGTTTTTTTATTTATGTTGTCCAAATAGGAGAATGTTGGATATTTTATGTGTAGAATGACATAAATTAATTTTTGTTATAACTTTAATTTAATTCTAGATTAATTGGATGCTAAAATATTGAACCATGTTGTTTAGCCCACATTCTAATTAATTATTGTTATTAAACTTATTTGTGATAACTTTATTATTAGTGAATATGATTTTATGGTTATTGGGTTGAGTTATAATGAGTAGGTTTGGTCCATCGTAACCACTTCAGAGTAATTATTATCGATGATATAAGTGAAACAATTGAAAGGGTGATAAGATGAGTTTTTTTTTCTCATTGATCAAAGAAGCACTATAACTAAAAATTTGCAAATTATATATAGATTTATAAATAAATTTTTGAAAGGTTACCAATAAATTTTTTTATTACAGACGAATTTATATATGGGCTAAACTTGTCTATAATTTTCTTGTCGATAAATCAATATAGACAAAATTTTAAATTTGTAAATAGAAAAATTCATATGAAATGTTACAAATGAATTTATAGACAAGTTTTTTTTCTTTGTAATTAACAAATCAATTAAAGATGAATTTTTTGGTCGGTAATGTTATAGACAAAAAATCTGTCTATAACATTTAATTTATTTTTTTAATTGTATAATTATTTCTTGTTGTTCTTAATTATCACAATAATTTATAAATATTAAAAAACTGTAAAATCAAAATTTAAAATTCAAAAATTTTAAAAATATTAAATTAAAATGGCATTACAATTCAAGAAGTAAATATCTAAAGTAATAATGTGAAAAATAAAATAATATTTATCAGGAGTACTTAGTGTACTTAAATGCAGACCATGTCCTCTACCTCCTCAGGCACAAGAGAATGACATCCCCAATGATAGATGAAAGGAACATCAAGTTTATAAAGTACCCCCTCCATGTCATAAAGGCGGCCTTTATAAAGCTCATCCACCGTCTCTGACCACATAGTATTCTCATCAATGGACTCTAGGTTCTTAGTAGATGCAGCCTCTAGCCTTTGAACATAGTCATTCTACAATTGAGGACATATAATTATATATCAACCTTGAGAAATATTTTTTAATATCTTTAATTAAAAAAATATAATGTCAGTAACTATACTTACATATGTAGCTTGAGATTGTGCATCAATCAACTAAGTTTTATCTCTCTTACAAGTGTGTATCTCGTTGAACACCTGTCTATGTGAAGGTGCTCTCTTTAGCGACTTCTCCTATAATTCCAATTAATAAACATCTCAAATTTAATTGATAAATTGAATATCATAAAATTTAAAGTAAAAATAGAAATCACTAATCATGTTGGCCTTAGTGCTAGCGAAAGTAATAGAGCCACCAGTCTGATCCTTTTATTGGATGTCTTGTTTGTCTTACTGTATGGAGAGATTTTGAAACAAATTTGTACACCAATACTCTTGTAAGATATGAAGAAAGTGTTGTGTTATCTAATCTGCAGATGATAAATCCTGATAGACTTTAATGTACATTTGTCTTAATCACTTTGTAGTGCATCTTCTAGACCTTGAAAATCATCTTTTTATCCCAAGAGGAATGAAAATATTTCTCTACATAAATAGAAATTAATTAAGTAAAAGAATTAGAGATCTAATTAGACTTAAATAAATTAATGACTTTTTTAAACTTTCAATCTTTGAACCATTCCACTTTTGTATCATTAGGCACTTTAGCAAAATTGGTATAAGGCACATCATACATATTTTTAATGGTATCCGTTACCTATGGATACAAACTGAACACACAATAAAATAACACAATTATAATAACATTCATAATAAATAAAATTTTGTGCGATATTTTGCGCAATATGAAAGGTGGCTTGATGATAAAGAATTATTGGTTACCCAATTACATGTTATCTTGAATTGTAATTGGATTAAACCATTTATTGAGTAAGTATTTAATATTATATGTATATCTATGTATTATTATTACACTAACAATGATTATATCTAATCTAACTAAATCTATGACTAATAGTATATATGTTCAAACCTTGAGCGATGAGTATGGAAACCTTAATAATTATATTATTGACAAACAAATAGAAGCTGATTTTTCATGGTGGTTTCAAGAATATGTAAGTTTTATTTGAAATTTATTGACATAATTATTTTTTTATTAGATTGGTCATATAAATATGTATATTTTCATTATGCTAGGTAAATAGTAATTGTCAAGTTAAGTTAAAAATTCTTACTTATATGACTTAGCAAAAGGACTTATAAGGGCAGCAAAGTCATGACTTATTTATTTTGTTAATGGTTACAAATTTACTCATTGTGACATTTATGACACTATTGACTTCATTTTTAGTAATGCAGCTGTTGTGCTCCAAAACTGTAACATCTTTATAAGAAATCTCCAAACAAAGTAAACACAA